ATTGTCACCGTGGATAGAAACAAAACATTTTGAGAGCGAGGAACTAATTGGAAGAATGTGTTTACAATCTTATACATTTATTAATTTCATTTTTTGTAGTTTCAAAGTTACTCTAGAGTCCAGCTTTAAGTTCTCTATTATTTCTATTATACACAATGCTTGTTACATGTTGTGTCCATTGGTGGGCAGAGGCCTGTAATTCTAGCGTCTCCTTTCCTCCCCGACACCCCACACTGAGCCTGACCTGTTCATTTGTCGGCGCTGTCAGGACGATGGGGTCAGGACGTGGATAAATGGCTGAAGAGCAGAAGAACAAGCCCAGGCTGTGGACGTTGCGCACGCACGTCTGGCTACTTCTCATGCTGCCCGTGTCACTCAGCCTGACACCATAAATCTCACTTATTTTCAGATCCAACAGAGACACAGGCAGAAATTACAGGCCCCAGCGCATTACCAGACTCAGCGGCGCGCAGAATGCTAACAGAGAGATCCTTGATAAAGCGGACAGCCAGTTCGAGCTCCAAGATTATTGGACAAAGACACACTCCTATTTGCAATAGCTACAATCGCACACACATCCAGCAGCAGAGCACGATGTCAAACTTAACCTGTCAACTCAAAATCAGGCTAATTTGCAAGACTGATGTAGTAATGAATAAGTTAAAGCAAAGACTTTATCATCTTTCACAGAGTCCACACTCCATATTTAACCATTAAAGTTGCAATGTGTAAGATTTCAAGATGATTCAAGTCATCATTAAATGGTCCTAATCTGTCAAAAGATATTAATAAACCATGCTCTTTTCAAATACTTCTTTAACTGATAATTGTAGTTGAATTTCAAAATGAGTTTTACACCCCCTAAATCTTGTTATTGCTTTCATTTTGATGTCCCTCCCTCCACTGTTTCACCAATCAGAACGTCCATGGTCTCAGTTGCCAGAGTTCACAGAGTCGAGCTAATCTCACTGTCAAAGTAACATGTGGCCGCAGAACTAAAAAGGGTCTTGTCATTATTCTCCAATAATTAACCATAAATCAAGGAATAAAACAAGGATTTCTATCGGGGCCTTTGTGAAAAAGGTGTTGGTTATAGATTTTTGTTGACAAAACTCTTGTCTATTCAGATATTATGGTCCCAGCTGGAATCGTCTGTATATCTGGCAACCTGAGTCATGGATGGTGGGAGAGGTTGCAGTACCACTTTTGGCCAGATTTTTACGAACAGAAGCCTGTGCTTGTTTCCCATGTAAACGTTTTTTGAGGAACTGCAGACAATTTCAGGCAAAACAACACACTCCAAGAAATAAAGTTTAGGATTGAATTGAGAAAGATAAAGGTATATGAGGATTTTCTACTACAAGACTGTTGGTCATGGATGTGAGAACTATTTTCTGAGAGGGGGGGCGGGTTTGTTTGTTGGGAGAGTCGAGTGAGAGTCGCATACTTGTCGCATACTTGTATTAGACTGGATAATAACATAGCATCTTAATCAGAAATCAGGTAACACACTTATCAAACTGGAAATCGTTTATTTCAAAGCTGGCATAACAAACACGATATTGCTGAATGTCACGTGCTGCTCTCACTATCAGACGCACACACGGCTCCTAGTAAGAATTCCGCCCGTCAAGAAAAGGTAGGCTTTGTAAATAAATAAAACATACATTTTTAAAAGCTGTAACTATGGAACATTTATTATTATTGTTATCATTATTGTATATTTAACCTACATCACACTGATTTATACGCAGCCGTCACAAAAACAGGATATACTGTATCTAAATGCAATACAGAAGTCATGCATTCAATTTCAATTATTTTCTGTGGGACTCATGGGTAACTGAGAGGACAAGGTCAGAAGGGAGGCTGCCGCACCCCCTGCACCCCTAGTTCCGACGTCTATGCTATTGGTCCTCCCAATTGTCAATCATTCTGGTGATACAAGCTCGTCAAATAAGACCAGAGTTTTGTTCAAACAGTGGAGAGGGCGTTATTTTTTTTTATTTTTTTATTTTTTTTTTTACATTTTTGGAAATCCTCCTATATACAGTACCTTTTAGCAACCTTTTCCACATAACCTTTTGAGCCTTGGCACAACTTTGTCATCAAAAACAATCACATAGCACACCAACAGCTGAAACTGAACACAAAAAATGCTTTCTTATCAAAGGAAATTATATAGATAATTTAAAAAAGCACAAATAACTCTTTCTAATCTTCTCGCATTATTATTTTTACACAATATTTTGACCATTGAGGTGACATTGTATAATTTCCTACGGCACCCCAAACAACATCTCAAGGCACACCACCGGGTCACTAAACACTGGTTGATACACAAAAAACTATTGTTGTTTTCTTGCTCTTTAATGCTGTCTTAAAGTTCAACATATCTTTCAGTTTTGGTTTAGTTGTTAGTTGTTCCTCTCCTGGACTTGTGTGTATGTGGCTTTTACCCAATGTTCCAAAAAAAACAAAAGAAACAACACACTTTATAGCATCTTTCAACAACATCAAAGCTATTGTTCAGAAGAATACACATATTAAATTAAACTAGCAAAAACCTTCTCCCATTCATGCAGCATGCCATTGAAATATAAACCTTATTTATTTTGGCAGTTATTTCATCTTGAAGCTCAGAGAATAGATATACACAAGCATGCGCTGTAATTGGTGCATGGGACTGGGTGCTATTCAAGCAAAAGTAATCATGTTTTTTTCTTTAAATGATGAAGTCAGAGCACAGTGAAATACAGTGTGTACTTTAATTGTGGAAATACGGACTTTGTAATACACTTGCATTGCTTCAATCACCAAAGAACAAATGTCTTCTCATACAACACATGCAGATTTCTCAATATTCAAACACGGAAAATGTATTTAATGTAACTTCTAATAATGGGGGTTCTGCTGCCTGTTTGCCGTCTTCCCCTTTTGCCTCTTTGCAGAAAGTGTAAATTTGATATCAATGGAGTTTTTTTCTTATATATCCGTAACTTTTATGCATTGTAATGTCCATCCATCCATCCATCCATCCATCCATCCATTTCCTTCCATTGCCGGGTCACGGGGCAGCAGTCTGAGCAGAGGCACCGAGACTTCCCCATCCATGCCTAGCTACTGTATTTAACTTATTTGACCCATTTATAAGCATATACTTTAAACATTACCTGTGCTCTGGAGAGTACGTAACTTGCATCGCACTTCCACAATATCAGGAAATCTATCTTATCCACATTTTATATGATTATGCTCATGATGTAAGTTTTTATTGATAGTTCCATTGACGACGGCAGGGAAATTGGAATTGAATTTGACTCTTGCTATCCATAATGTGACAGGACATCAACAGTGCTTACCTGGAGCCATACAGCACTCAAGTTTAACTAAATATATTATTATTATTATTATATAAATGCTGCACCACATGTTTTAAACAATATCTGTCCCGGTAGCACGTCTCTGTAAATGGTGTTTCTTGGGACATTAACTTTATCCAGGATTCTATTAAAACACTAGGGACCAGAGAGGACTGGAATGACTACATAATATGCAATGACAACCTCTGTGAATAATGTTTCCTAATGTGCTGTAGTATCTCGGCTTCACATTTGTCCAGAGTCAATTAAAAGTCAAATATACCTCACCAGCCTCTAAGTTGAGTGACTAAATGAGGCTTATGGTAATTATGTTTTAAACAAAGCTGATTATATAGTAGTGGAATTAATGCTGAAAACCCATGGTTATAATTAGCAAAATGCTGATAGTTTGCAAAGTGAAGTGTACAGAGTGGCAGTGTCGAGATGTGTAAGTGTCTGTAGTTATATCTGAGGATCTATACTCACATGTGGAAGCAATAATGCCAATAACATGTGTGTGTGCAATGAAATGAGAAAATACATTCATCTTTATGTGTTGTGCGGTGAAGGACCCAAAAAACGGGAACACGAAAATAATGATTTAATAAAGATAATAGAAAAAAAGTCCAGCAAAAAAACGAATCAAAAATCCAAAGGACACTCAGGAACGTAGACAGACAAAGACAATGGACGGGCAACAAGGGGAGAGGAGCACAGGTACATATAGACGCAGGTGAAGCGCATTAGGGCGGGGCGGACCATCGGTACAGGGGAGCAGGAAAAGAATGAACAAACTAACACAAAATCCACCATGACAATATGGCTGATTTGATCAGACTTGTACCCTGATAGTTCTGGTTTCATTTACATAAGATAAGATAAAGGTTTGTCGCACATTAATGTTCTACTCTGAGGTGGTTAGGTACAAGTAACAAAGTACAAGAGGTTGGTATGTCGTATGTAAGTCAGTAGAACGTTCTGACAATCTTCTGTGCCTGACTCTTCCTGCCTGTGACACATGTAGCACTCACATTACAGATGTAAACCACCTGCTGGGGTTTAGCCAGAAAGGGAACACACTGTATTACGTATTACGTATGATTATGTTAACATTAATATTATGAACACTATGTATTTTTTTTGTATTTCAGAATTCAGAACTCTACTCAATGTCAAATATGATTTCTACAAAAAAGTGTGTAGATAAAATTTGAAGTGAAAATATTACATACTCTCCCTTTTAAACAATGGACAATCATTGGTTTGACTTTTATTATTGCCTTGGAAATGCTTCATACTCTCTGAATATAACGATAAACAAAACATGTAGAGTGCACAACTTCAACCCTGTGTTTATGTTTTGACACTAGACACAAGTGTTTCACAGGTGTCTGTTGTTCTGTTGTGTCATCTACAGTAACATACCCATTTATATAATACAGGGAGAACAAAAAACAGAATAGTTTTCCAGTAAGTAAAAAAAAAAAAAAAGTATGGTGCCACCTCTGCACATTTCTAAATATATGAGTCCAGGGGGTGGGTCATGAGTGGTCATTTCTTAGACTGCACTTATCTCCACAGGGTTGTGTTTCCCCCACACATTGTACACTCCTGACCTGGCGCTCTTGTCTATTTCAGGACTCCGAGATCCTGAACACGGCCGTCCTAACGGGGAAAACGGTGGCTGTGCCGCTCAAAGTGGTGACTGTGGGTCTGGACGCCTCCATCAGCGACGTGTCGGAGAAGGTCATGTGTGCATCCACCGATGAAGACGTGGTGAAGGTCAGGGACAAAAGCCACTCACCTGCACACACTGACACTCCACAGTCATCATGCGTCTTTAGTAAATCTAACTGCATAAATAGCATGACGGGTGCATGCATCGGTTTTGCCTCATAAATATCTGCTGCAGCAAACAGGGCGCAGCAGGGTGTCGGGATGTGAGGGTTTCAGCCTGAGCTCAGAGCTTCCTTCAGCACACAGACACTAATTAATTCAAAGGAACATTTCCGAGTGCACCTCTGTGATCATTGCTGTCTTATTATCTGTAAACATGTTTATCTCACTTGTAATGTCACTGTTGGGTTAAATTATCGCCTCTGGAGTCTCTTCAAAGATGAAGTTCCAGTTATGTTATTCAGTTCATTGGCGCCTGCTTCAGTGTCTGAGCAAAGGCGTGTGTGATATCAGCTGTGGCAGGAGGCTCTTGTTCAGTGTTACCTGTGTGGATATCATTGCACATACTAAAATTAAGTTACTTGATTAATTGATTAATGTACTGTGCACAAACTGAGTTCAAAATTGTATCAATGTTCTTGTGATAATGATCTCTGTGGGATATCTTTTGAGTAAACCTCTCTGAAATGTCCCCAGTTTAAAAGGCTTCACTGCATAGGGATTAAACACATTTGTTCTGTTGAGTGTTATTTATCTGCTTCAACTCACTCATGAAAGAAACAATTGCTGTGAGAGGCGTATGCAGGATATGTAGACACATTTATCAGAACTGTCAACTATTGCAATGGGGACTTTCCTCACAGGATCATTCACAACTGGCCCTCTCCAGTTTATCTGTGAACAAGACTGTGATTTATTTAATGTACTGGGGTGTCAGTTAGAAATACACACACATAATATAATTCACAAAACACACATACTGTCATACAACGTTAAAGGTGTAAAGAAGGATTTTCCCAAATTTTATGAAAGAACTGCCCTCTCCACTTTGTGAACATAACTCTCAGGTCATATTTGACGAGCACGTATCTCCAGAATGATTGACAATTGGGAGGAGCAATAGTCTTGATGATTCACCCAGAAGTAGAAAATCCTCCTATATACATTTTCAATTCTCAAAACCATATTTACAGTAGTTATTCTACCACTGTGAGTTGGAGTGTAAGCAAACAAATTTATGGTATGACAACTGTTGTGTTTCTATTACTAATTTATACTGATGTTTGTGTTTCACCTTTGAAAGTATCACATAAGGATAGAAGTGAGTGGGTAATGTTTTGGAAATGCCGATTATAGATGCTGCAAAAGGTGTATATGTGTAAAATGATGGTACTCTAATAACAGATTTGACTGTGTACATGGCAAGGGCAAACAACGTAATCAAAAGCTATGAAAGGATTTGGCATGTTATCTCCCCTTTAATGATGTATTTTTTTTCTTCTAATTCTTGAGCCTATTGCAATGGAGCAGGTGGAAGAAACACTGTATGTAGATAATTGTTCAACCGGGATCCGAGCAGCCTCCTTTCCTACATTCTGACAAATAGGGCCTAAAGTATAAATGTCAGCTCCGATGTGGATAGGAGATAATTGTCAGCTTCAACATCCTGTGAACCTAATATTGATCAGCTCTGGTCAATTGTGCGCACATCTAGTCAGGTGGGTTTGTGTCTCTGCCTAATGCAAGAATCATGTGGGAGCTTGTAAAACTGTGGCAGACTAAAGGACTGTCTGAAGCACTCAAGTATAGGGCGACAGAGCGCAGTGAGTGGGAGCTGAAGGAGAGGAACAATGAGGACGGATAAGCCACTGACATCTTTATTAGTCCGACACTCTCTGACTAAGAACTCAAAGTCTAAATGTATACAGAACTGAGATAAAACTTTAGCTTTATTCTTTTTCTTGCACTGTTGATGAAAGAAATTCAGGTAGACTGTATTATTTTAATTTAGGAGTATTGTGAATGTATTGTGGTATTGTAATATTTCTAGCTTCTACTTTACTTTTTCAATGTCACAAAGAATTGTTATTAAAGATGCAGTCAGTGATTTTTTTCCAGATGCATTTTTTTAGATATTGTGGGAAAACGTTCCAAGTAGTCAAGTTATCATGTGATTTTAAATATTTATGGAATTAATGACCAATATTTTGGAGCAATATTTTGAACCAATGGGATGCGTTTACCCCCCTTACCCCTCTTTCTGTTTCTCGCGAGTGCGCGCTCCTGAGTTATAGGATTTGCCAATTTCCTGTTTGCCACACGCTGTCCCTGTTGTGGCAAAGAAAAGGAAATGCTGGATGTTTGGTTTGGAGAGGGGAGGAGTGGTTTTGAGTTGGTGCTATGGCTAAGCTAACAAAATGTTTTACTGCACCTTTAAGTACCAAGCAGCCCTATATTAGGCCTCTATATGTTTAACACACATAATTGCGTTAAAAGCAACGTGATTAAACAAGGAAGGTCCCACTGAGATTTCAGAGTCCTGGTCCCAGGTGGAAGATGGGGTGAGGAGGGTGTTAGGAGGGGGTTACAGGGGGTTACATGTTTTTAGTGGTAGGGGAAACTGGAACACCTGGAGAAAAATTATGCAGACATGGGGAGAACATACAGACTCCACTCAGAAACCCAGGATAATGAGAAGGATCACAAATTACAGCATATTTACTACTACTACTACTACTGACGCAGCAGCAGTTTCTATCCTCCTGATATTCTCTTCTTCTTTCACAGTATACTAGGCCCACTACTACTACTACTACTCCTTAGACTACTGTTATGGCCTGCTCACAGGTCTGTCCAAACAGGCTGTAAAACAGCTGCAGTACATTCAAAATGCAGCAGCTCGAGTCCTGACTAGAACCATGAAGTACGACCACATTAGTCCGGTCCTCAGGTCTCTGCACTGGCTTCCTGTGGCTCAGAGAATAGACTTTAAAACAGCTCTGCTTGTGTACAAGTCTCTCCATGGCCTCGCACCAAAATATATTAGTGACATGTTAGTCCCATATGAACCAGCCCGGACTCTGAGGAGCACAGGGACTGGACTCCTGTTAGTGCCCAGAGTCAGAACTAAACATGGGGAGGCTGCTTTTCAGATTCATGCTGCTAAAATCTGGAACAATGTTCCTGAAGATGTGAGACAGGCCTCCTCTCTGATAATATTTAAAACCAGGTTAAAAACAGTTCTGTTTAGCTGTGCATACAACTGAGGGATTTTATATTTTTATCTTTCTTTTTAATGTTCTGTGAATATTTATGATTTTATTGCTATCTTTTTTTGTTCAGCACTTTGAATTACCTTGTGTATGAATTGTGCTATACAAATAAACTTACCTTGCCTTGCCTTGCCCTACTACTACTACTACTATTACTACTACTACTACCACAACTACTACTACTACTACTACTACTACCACTACTACTACTACTACTACTGCTACTGCTACTGCTACTGCTACTACTACCATGTTACTATCATTAGTATCAAATCAGTTCCTGCTGCAGTGATAACAGTGACAACAGTAAAACAAGGCTAAATGTGTAACACAGCTCTGGGAAGGTCAGTATCTATGGCATTAGTTGTTTTTGTATCCTCTTTTGTCTTTCTCATTATTCTATCAGTATTTGACTTGTGGAGACAAATGTACTTTTTCTTCTTATGCCTCTCTACTATACATCCTCGCAGAGCCCGAGGAAGACGCCCCCTCCTCCAAATGTTCAAAAGGCTCATTACGCATCGCTGTCATTCTCTGCAATTGTGCGCTTCGCTGTGTGTGACCAATCTCCTATTATGTACTGTATGTCTGTGCGCGTTTCAGCTTTATTAACAAGGAGGAAGTATCCACTGATCCTGTGAACCCCAGAGAACAGGCAAACGCAGGCCTTATTTAACATGTACGTACTGCTCTTGAAGGATGCCTGCTGGAACACTAAAGGTTTCAAGGGATTGCTGAGACTAAGATTCAAATCCACTGTGACTCATGGAACTGAAATATAAAACACATTAAAGAAATATGCTATACTATGATAGATTGCTAGTGAAAATGGCTGTAACTTTGATCTCCCTATAACCGCATCTTGTATAATATCTATTTTTTGCTACCAAATGAATTAATAAATAGGATTCAAGTAGTAAAAGAAAAAAGTAGAGTTTTAGTGTCTTCTACTATCTAAGGATGAGGCACGTTCTGTATTATAGATGTGTATGTAATTTTTGCTGCAGCAGGACTTGGATACAAAACTGTCACAATATATAGATTTAGGAGTCATTTCATTTTGTACCTCGAGTTTTACTTCTTGTTTAAGTGGATGTGAAGGGTAAGAAATCCCCTCAAAGCCACAGAAAAGACAGGTTTTTCTCCAATTCACAGAGGACATCCTGCTGCTGCAGTGATGAATGACTGTGCCACTGTAGAGACTTTACATTAAGGAGTAAAAAGACATTTCCCAGTTCTATTTGAATATATCTGCTTCCACATAGTGTCTGTGTAGTAGTTCGCAAAACCCCATTCAGTTTACAAAGACTTGGTTTTATTACTTATTTACTTAAGTTACTTAAAATTCAGGTGTTTAGACCAGGCAGTGGTCTCCTACAGATAATTTGGACGTCATGTAAACGTCATGTAAACTGCTTTTGTCTTTTGATCTGCTGAGTGGAGTCAGTCCATGGCTGCGCTTTTTACCAGGCAGTGCTGGGGAGCCTGGTCATGCTCTATGGGAACATTTCTGTGCAGCTGAAAACACAAACCAACACAAATCAACTTGAAATATGGGCCAACCAATATATTAGTAAATCTATACTGCAGTATAGAAGTGATTAGTGACACTTTATAATAATTAGACATGAATTAATGGATTCATTCATGATCAATCATCCATCAGTTCATCTTGAGTCCACTCATAATTCATGATAACTCTAATACATTTGTTTGTCATCAATGACTGCTAATATTACAAGATACTAGTCCATAATGAATTACCTTCATTATGAGTTCATCAATTCAAGCCTGGTTACTATTAAGAGTTATCCAATCTTGTCACTTGTGCTCAATACAGTTGGGGCAAATGAAAGAAGAGGGTGAATCATTGTGTGTCATGTGAGAAGAAAGGAACGCAAATGTGATCATTATTTTTGTGACCGTGTCAGGTACAGTAGATTGCCCTGATTTTATCTTACACTCGTACTACAATAGAGGATCAAGCTGCAGTGTGGTTTGCTCAGGTTCAAAGTGTCTTGGCTACCCGCTGCCTCCTGCCTCAAGAGCACAGAGCAAATAGCAGGATCTCTTTGCATCTCTTCAAAGCAGGACTACAGTAACCACACAGGAGTCAGTCTTGTAATCAACAGTGTGTGTATGTGCAGTTTATAGAGTGTTTTCTAACCCTGCAGGTGTCAGACCGATGTGACTACGTCTTTGTCAATGGGAAGGAGATGAAGGGCAGAGTGAGGATGATGGTGAACTTCACCTATGGATATTTGAGTGCTCAGCTTGAGCTCCGTGTGTGGATCCCTCGACTGCCCCTACAGATGGAGGTCTCTGACACAGAGCTGAGTCAGATCAAAGGCTGGAGGGTACCTATTACAGCCAACACTCAGAGGTAAAAACACCACCACTGTGCAGCTATGCTGTTTACCCATGATATTGTGAAATAATGCTGAAGAGATGGCTTTTGGTGGAGGAATCAAGCTAATGAAAAATACATGTTATTGGTCACCTCAGCATACACTTTTCCTCTTTCAATTTGTTGTGGTTTTGCACCTTTGTATAAAAGTTTGAAGCAAGACATTTGAAGTTCAGAGTACATTAAAATATGATAATAAGTTGTGTGAGTGAGTGGCTCAAAGCGAAAAGGCTGACCTGTGCAGATCCTGCTGTCATTACAGTGTTGTGAGTGGGGTAGAACATTATTAGCTGTCTGTGGGTCAGGCCTCTCTCCAGGGGCCTCATCACCATCAGCACCGCTGACAAATGCCACTGTGTAACACCGACCTGTAACTGTAGAAATTCACAAGCACAGTTTCCTATCAGTCTACCTGCAGTCATTACTGCTGGAACAGGTTGGAATTGGACAGGCCCACGCATGCAGCAGTATGACGGCTCTAATTATCCTGCTCTGTCCTATTCTGAGTGACAGAGGGACAGCACTCGGCTAACGCCAGCCTTGTTTCGGTACGTCTCTCCCAGCTGCGTGCTCCGCCTTTATCAGGAGGGACAGCCCCGTCACACTGTCACTGACCATGCCAACATGGCTGCTGATGGCACATACTTGTGTTTATTTCCCTGTCTTTATCCAGGCTTTGTTTATCAGTGGAGAGCAGACATGACCTTGCCAATATTGTTCCTGTGGTGAGGACAGACAGTGGTCCTCTGTGCATAGACCCAAGAGCAGCAAACAAGTCAAGGGTCCTTTCTCCATTAGGTTCAGGAAATTATGGACACTCTGCAACAGAAAGCATAGTGATGCAGGAATCTGCTCTGATATTGCAAGGTCAGATTTCATGGTACAGTATAGGAATATGCAGTGCCTGCCTCACCCTTTTCCCCAAAAAATATCATACATGGCAACACACCTTATTATGAATGTACATGTTATTTCCAACCAGGCCAGTGTTGGGGTTTTCAGAAATGGTCTGTCAAAGATTATATTGCAGACACCAACGTAATCCAATTGAATGGCCCCTCTATGTGCCTTTGTGAAGCCATGAATCAAACCAATGTGATCCATTTACATAATGCTTGTTAATACTGTACAGATTTGGTGGGTCCCCTCTGTTCATATTTTGTGTTTTAATGACATCTCACATCAGAATGTTGCAGAAATGGAAGTACAGCAATAATAGATATAAATAATGCTGCATGCTCTCCACAGGGCACTACAAAAATAAGCACACATTATTATGCAGTCTCTGAAGTCAGTGCAGCTTCAAAGTGAACGAAGCGTAAAGAAAAATTGCTGTGTGATGCAGCTTGTTCTCTACTCTGACTGTGATTTCTTTATTAGGTTAATCTTAGATTAGATTTGGAGATGGCTGCATATGCAGTGGCATCTCACATTTGTTCTAGAGCTAAAACGGCTAGACTGTACTCAGCAAGTTTACACAAAATCTATACCAAGAGGGAATCCATATAACGTGTGTGTTATATTAAAAAAGTTAAACAGATTTGTGTCCCGTAATTGTTTAATTTAGGCCATAAACAGCATGTGTTTTGAGACACTTTGAGAAAATTGTGCGGTGTTGGGATATCATAGTCCAGCATTTTGACCAAAGCCTTTAAAGCTAGTCTGTCATCCTCTGAGCAATTTCCTACTGTCAAAGCCTCTGCTGGCTGATATATTACCTCCAGTAATAAAATTAGATTTGCTTACAAAACAACAATCAAGGAGGCTATTCAGTAACCAATAAGCAGGAGTATGCACATTCACAGTCCAGACAGTCTCTTCATCACACTAATAAAGAGGAAGTGGACTGATCCTGCAGAACAGAGCATGTGTAGTCCATGCTTTAAACTTGCTCTATTGATATGTAGACTTGAGAGATGACATTATATAGTCACTGTTGAGCAGATTGTGTATTTATGTTTACATTATGGCTAAAATAATGTATACAGTAAGAGCCTTATTTGATCTTGGGCCTCTCTGATGTATTGCTATAGTGATGGAAAGATCAAAATGATAACCATCACATTAAAAACATAAACCCTTTATTGTTTTTATTGAACCTACAGGGCTACACGGGACAGTGAGGATGAGGAGGATGAAGAGAGGCGTGGTCGCAGCTGCACCTTACAGTACCAGCACGCTCTGGTTCGGATCCTCACTCACTTTGTGGCGGAGTCAGAGGCGCGGGGCCAGAGCAGCTTCATGCTGGGCACTGACTGGCAGATGGACATCACTGAGCTGGTGTGGGACTTCCTCAAAGTGGAGGACGAGCACATAGTGCAGCTCATCAACAGGAGGACTCTGGTGGGACGAGGACCCGGCATGACCTCTATACAGGTGGCCATACTTGTCCTTTTCACAGGTCATTTCTCTTTGCACACACATGGGGCACCACAATGATCTACTTTGTATTGGAAGGATTGGATCAGTAACATAAGGGTAAGCACTGGTAAGGTTGATATATTTACCATTATAGTACAATTTGAATCAGAATCAGAATCCTTTTTATTGCCATTTGAGTAACAGGAAGTGAAAAACTAGGAAATTGATTTGGCTCTTGGTGCAAACAAGTTAAAATAGAATAAAATCAAAGGCATGCATGAATACAAATCTACATAAATGATGACAAATGACTACATTTGACTGAGATCTAAGAGGTCATGCACACTATCCTCAACAGCTTGACAGATACGTGTTTCAGATTTTTATAAATGGTTTTTCATCAACAATTATGATACATTTTCACGTGAATTGATCAATAACAAAATGAAATAGTCTGAAACCTGTAAGGCCATCTATACATATAGATGACAATTATGGAGGAAAAAATAAACAGTCTTGAGACAGATATTTCCCTAATTTGTCTTTGCTTCACAGTTCTTCACATACAGAGTAGAAGAAGAGCATTTGTGCAGAGCTTGGGGTTTCTTTAAATAACGTAGAGATGAGTTAAACTTAATTCCTGACCTCTCTGGGGGTTCCTTGAACTTCAGAATGCCGTTTACTGACTAATATTCTCTCAGATATCAGAGACCATTGAAGATGAACGGTGAGCCAATTGACTTTTTTTTTCCAACAAGACCATTCCAACAAGACCAGTCATCAGGAAACTGTTGAAGGAAATTGGATGCACTCAGAGAAAGTATGAAATAATGTATTTGTCTTTCTTTAAATTGTTCTACACTTTGTGGGGATCTTTAAAAACAAGTACAAAAAAAATTTACATTTTGTTTGTGGTCCTAATGTGATACAATGTTTTGAAGCCACTGTGGTAAACTGTCAAACCATGGTATTTTTGGCCACAGTTATCTTGAGAATTTCATATTCATATTTCCATCACAACTTTAAATTCATCAATTTGATTATTGTGGAAATTGTATTTTAGGGGCAGATTATTAGCTGCAATGTTGTTAGGTAGAATAAATACAAGTTTAAAGTATAGCTCAAACTGCAGTGTCTTATTTCAGTAAATGTAGAGGCGTTTTTGACAGAGGGTTAAAGCAGCACTACCATGGTCCTGTTCAGACAGGCGCTTTTTTTAGAGCACTGTTTTTGAGAGCAGAGGGATATGTGAAAGTGCCATCACTTTTCTCCACTAGATTCAGAAGAATAAAGGGATGAATATCTGAATAGAACATGTAGGAGAGAGGTGTCCTCTGTCGCTCTTCCCTCACTCTAAATCATGTCATGCACAGTGACATTTACTCAAACACTGAAATATTATTGTGGCCTGCAGAGCCAGAAGCACTTATTTCTTTTAATAAACCAAGCCAATAAACTAATCACCGTTGCTCTGATCCTATGTAGTTTTGCACCATAAAATGCATACAACAATATCAGGTTCAAATAAAAGTAATATGAAATAAATAAATATTTATTTAGTGCTAGTGATACAAAGACTATTGTTTTGAAAGATTCAGTTCCTGTACGGATTTAGCGATGTTCCCTCTGAACTCCAGTTTCCATTTCTGCTAATTTCTCCTGGGAAAGGCCTCCCGAGTCGCTGGAGTTGAGAACAGGAAATGAAATTGCTTTCATGAACAACCCATACAATAGATCAGGTCTCCATTGTGGTGTGGTGAAGTGGTAATTATATCAGGGATGTCAGAGCTGTCATTTCTGAATCGGGAGAAAATGCAAATTAAACTGAAATAGCCTGGTCTTTTGTCTTTGGCCTAGGTGCTCTCCCCTCTGTCCGACTCCATCCTGGCAGAGAAGACCATCACGGTGGTGGAGGAGAAAGTGACCATCACAGAGTTAGGGGTTCAGCTGGTGAGTGGACTCAGCATGGACCTCCAGCTGAGCACCGGGAGTAACCGCGCTGTACTCGCCACGACCACCACACAAGAAGTGCTCAGCAGTCCAAAACAGGTTTGTATAAATGTGGAAAGATCAGATGTGACCAATTTACCTCAATCAATTACACACATACATGTATATATTTTGAAATGTATAAGACATATTGTATCTGCAGAAGTCAAGAGAAAATGTATCTCAAAAATATGTGGCTCATTCACAATCAATGAAAAGTGCAAAGAGATATTAAAGTATTTTCTTACTGAAGATGGCGTGGAGTGATTTAGAATGATTTTATTTATTTTTTTACAGGGACAGTGTACAATAAACAGACGTTCATTGTATTTAGCAGAAGAAGCTGAGTTACACCTGTAGTCCTGAGCTGGCTGGTATCATGTTGTTATTAGAATTACTGAATGATTTAACTAATTAATACTTTATTTCAAGCCTTGGCAAACAAAAACAAAGAATAACAACAAAACACAACAACATAAACATTACAACATACAGGTTACAATAAAAAATACACCGCTGCCATTCTCCCTTTCTCTCATCAGAATTATGCTCTTGGACATTTATGTATTTCCTAATTCTTGTTAACTTCATTTGTTCATATTACTTTTATTTGTTTGATTTTCTAATTAGCTTTAAGACTTATTTTTTCAAGACGACTGTGGTTTGAGCGCTATATACTGTAACTATTAGATTTTAATCACATGTTACATTTATTATCTATTTATCTGTTAAAACAAATGCAAAATAATGGTTGCTGGGTCTCAGTAAGAAGGTCCTGGGTTCAAATCCTGGTCGGAACAGGGAATTTTTAAGTGGAGTTTCCATGTTCTCCCTGTGTCTGCATAGGTTTCCTCTGGGTGCTCCGGTTTTCCCACCACTAAAAACATGCACATTAGGTATGAATGTAAAGGAGAGATTGGTGTTGGGTCAGAGGCTTTGATGGTCCAGTGTGTCCGTCATCACCGTGTGTGGAGAGAATGAAACAATATCTGAACTCTGGACATTGTAAAACGCTTTGGGTGACCTTGGTCTGTAACAATGTGCCATATAAATAAATATTGTTTACTTACTTACAATATAAGTCTATGGACATAAAACATATTGAAAGAAGCATGATCATAGGAGACAGAGGAAGTTTGAAATATTCAGTCTAATATTCAGTCTTATTTCCAGAAATTACAATATACACAACAGTCATTGTCAATACGATAAATGTTTGTCGTATTCAACTCTTAAGCAGTTCAGAAGTTTATATGACGGTGATATAGAAATGTAATGTTATATTAAAAAGCGGTAATAACCCAAAACGAAACAAAATATAACTATAGTGATTTTTTTTGACCACTTTCTAGAATACAACTCCTCTGCCAAAGTGAAGTGTCCTATCTTAAGCCCCATCGCGTGTGTCAGCTTAGTGCTTTGATCTGCCTGTCAGCCCTGTCCCCGGGTCTCCCCACACTTTCTCTACATTCTTCTTCCTCTAAGTGTGGAAGGACAACAAGGCCGTTTATCAGAGCTATATCAGTACACTGTGCAGATAAGAGAGCCTCAGTCCTCTGTGTCACTGGAAGAATATACAGCCTGCAGGGATTTGTCCTGTGGCAACATTAAAGCCAAATTATGAAATGTTGCAGCACATCCCCAGAGTAAATCCACACTGACACGAGCAATGTTTAATGTTCTATATAAGCTTCCCCATCTTTAATCTTTAAACAATGAGGTAACAAAAGCACATGACAGAACAAGCTGCGCCTGCTGCTGCTTCTATCTATGCATCGGTTCTGAAAAAGTAAACTTTTCTATAGAGAGGTCTTTTTAGTTCCTGCACATCAAATATTAGGAGGGACTTCTCAACATTATGCTTTACCGGTTTGTGAACTTTTTTCCCTACAGCCACAACGTTCTTCACTGTTTTTGTGTGCCCCTATTGGCAAAAGGGAAGATGTTGAAGATTACACTATGGAGGCAGTTGTTTACTATTCAACCAAAAATCACAACACTGGTTCATAGTACATACTGACGAAAATGACAAAGTCTGGGATTGTGTCAGACAGACAGAAGACATGTTTTATTGTCGATGGTAGAGACAGACAAGACACAAACAAAGAGTTATAGAATGCAAGTTATATTATATAGCATGCAAGTGTAAAAGTACCAGCTCCCGCATCTGTTATAAAGATGAGCTCAGGTTTACCCACGGTTGCTTCAAAGTGTCATGAAAATTCCCAAATACTTTGCTTAGAATTAAAAAAATAAATATATATTGATCAACAGCAAATTAGATAATTAAGCCAATGAAAACGGTCGATGTAAGTGTAAGAACCACAAAATATAGAAAAGAATGTACTTTTTTGCCTTCAAGAAGCACATTTGTCTTGAACAGATAGTGATACACAGTTGCTTAGAACAAGATAAAACAATACAATCACAAAATATTTTAAAACAAGAACACAACATAAAAATAAAAAAATAGTGAACTGCTGATGTGCCGTAGTTAAAGAGGGACTCTGCTGTTGCATTTTATGTACGTATACTGTAGACTTCCATCCGTTTCAATATAAATGATGAATTATAATTAAAAAAAACGTTATAAAGAAGAGGGAAAAAATAAGCCTTGGTTGTTGTTGGTGGTTTTGCCATGATGTATAAGTCTGTTTGATCTGATGTCGAGGTTTTGTCCGCCCTGTTGAAACATGATTCTACTTTGTGTGAAGAAATGATTCTTACATTTACATTGGGCATGTTTTCTGTCCTCTCCCCCCAGGAGGCTCTGATCAGTGCCTGGCTGCAGTTTAGCGATGGCACCGTGGTTCCGCTGGATCTCTACAACAGAGACTACTTCATCCTTAGCGCCATGTCTCTGGATGAAGAGGTGATCACAGTGCACCAAGACCCCTCCTGGAAGTGGCCCATGATCGTGACTGAATCCGAAGGCCAGGGACTGCTTATCCGGGTGGAAATGACCGTTTGTGAGATGTGCCAGAAATATAAACGACGGAGCGTTTTGGCCGCCGGCAACGGTAACATACGGGTCCAGTTTGGGCGCGATGATAGGAGCAGCGATTATGACGACATGGAGGCGAGAGGGAGGCCTTCCCAGGATCGGACCGATACTGGCACACTGTACTACAGCAGCTCCATCTCCGAAATGGAAGACGGAGTGCTTCGCAGGGCCACCACCACAAGAAGTGCAATAATGCGCAGACCAAACGGGGATAAACTTTCCGACGACAGCAACCAGGCGGATTTCACGGACTTTCCTGCTCAAGTCGACCTCCCGCGAGGACGCAACATGGAGGACGACTTAATCACAGCACGTGGACTGACAGACTTGGAGATAGGAATGTACGCGCTCTTAGGGGTCTTCTGTCTCGCGATTCTGGTGTTTCTAATCAACTGCATATCGTACACCCTGAAATATCGCCACAAAGAACTTTCGATCGAAGGCCAAGAGACTATGAACCACTCTCATGACTGGGTGTGGCTCGGTAATGACGCTGAGCTGCTAGAAAGCCAGATCAGCCTGTCGCCACAGCAAGAAGAGCAGACTTCCATGATAGACTGCAGCAGTGGCCTTGAGGAAGGGAGTCACTTGCTCAATGGAGGTACGGTGCAGAAAAACGTCCAGGGGCAAGTTCACCGGACGTGCGACGCAAGCGGGAAGGACAAAGGAGACTCGCCGACTAGCAAAAGGAAGAGAGTGAAATTCACCACTTTTACCACTATTCCAACAGAGAGTAACTACCCCACTGTAAACACACTGAGCAGCAGCCACAGCCAAGACATTACGTGGGTGTGCCAGGACGTGGAGCTAGAGGGCGCCAAGGAGTTGCGCAATTATATGGAGAGGCTAAACGACAGTGCGCTGATGAAAGACGTGGTGTGATTTTTCTGGACGCTTGTAATAATCTCACCCTTTTGCCTTTCAGGGGGAAGTGGGTCTGTCAGCAAATTAGAGATGAAAATATAAACTGCCAAAGCCACTGAACATTCATGACATAAAATGACGGACGTTTTTATTTATATATTTCCCTTTGTGCTATACAGGGTTGTGGTAGAATAACAATACTAGACACACTAGAACTAATGCAATTCATGTACGTGGACTGTAAGCAGGCAGAAGATGGATGATTAAACATTTCAAAGCGTGCACATTAAAAGTGATTTCAAGTTTTGCAGAAATGAACTTGGATTTTCTGCTCTGTGTCAAGACGAAGGCGACAAGGTGCATGTAAGTGGGATTTGCAAAGCACAATTGTCTCAGTCATCTCAATCACTGTCGGTATCTGCGCATCGTGTCTAAACAAAAAATCCACATCTCAATGAGCACACCACTTATTCTCAGGGGAAAGGTTAAGGTTTTTCATTTTAGGTTTAGTCATGACATTGTGTTCAACTACATGCATTTTAATGTGTATCAATGTAAAGAAAAAAAACAAAACGCAATCACTTTCCAAAGAACTAAAATGAATTATTGAATTATGTTAATAAACACAAATATTTGAATAGGGTTATTGTTTTTTGAACCACATGTGTCAATAATTTTCCTAAAAGCATTGTCTGATCGCTGATTTCAGTCCTGTCTTCCCTTAAGGCGCTGTCACATTATTTTTTGTGTCGCGGACTGTCTTCCACAGCTTAAAACAAAGCTGACGTAGCAAAAACAAATAATCGCTTTGGGAGTAAACACACACGGAGATGGAGACAAGGTGGGGGATGTTTTCCTTCTGCAAATGAAACCTTTATTATCCACATAATTGCGCAAATAATGATCATCTGTGAAAACTTCCTAAACAAAAGCAGCCTGCTGAAAAATTGCATTTGTTCATTGAATGTTATTACCATCACAGCAGCTGATTGCTTTGCATTTTGAGCCATTTTCCACCCGGGAGAAAAAAGTGCCCTGCAGATTATGTACATTGTTGGCGCAGTATCAGACTGTTGATGAGGCATGGGGGGTACTTATAAACAAACTACCTGTGTGTAATTAGAGAAATGGTTTCAATCAGTATTCTCTGTCAACAACACTCACCTCTGAAGGCTTTGGAGACCACAAATAAACTTCAGTGGTTCTTTTTCACTTACCTCACTTTGTTCAAGAGGTTGTTGACTGAATTGTATCGGTAACATTGATCCTGGTTACGTCACGAGCAATTACTGACACAATACAAGCCACACTTTCAGGACACCCACTGTGTTCCTGAAGTCAACAGTATTTATCTTAAGTGAATGCCAGTTACCTTTCCTATTGTGGAGAGAGAGAAAAACAATTAAAGTTAGACCCATGCTCACCCACACAGCTTCCTGATGAGACAATATTCATTTTATTCTTTGTTGGTCATACATTTTCCAGAACTATATATATCATACATATCCATATATATTATTTTTGAAACTTACATGATTTACATGGTCACATGGTCAGAAATGAATTATAAAAAAATGAAATACGCTTACTGACATGAACTTTAATCTAGTCTAGTTTACACATGTTGAAAGTTTACACACCCAAGCAGAAATTGCTATTTTAAAAACCCATATTTTGGAGATTACGGTTTATGACACAATGCCAAAAATTGAGTTAGTTGTCGTTAGTTACCAATTACATGTGTTTTCCTATTCAAATTATGAAAAGTGTGCAAATTGATCCTGAGTAGAAGTTTTAGAAGAGAGTATTTTGTGGTAGTGGTGGTGATGGTAAAGCTGCCAATTCTTCTTGTAATAAAATCCTCCAGTTCCTGAACTACACATTTGAGATCTTCAAGATGTCATAATTTGAATGTAATTATTTGACAACAATCACACAACGCGTCATACTTAGATTAGTGATAAAAAGTCTGTATCGTACTCATCACCTAAAAATGACTTTACATCCTGGGTGTGTAAACATTCAGCACTACTGAATTTTACATGCTACACCTCCAGGTTCTTTAGTTCTTGTTATTGTGTTTGTCCATACGGGTGTGTGTGTGTGTGTGTGCGTTCTCTGTATTTCGTCACCCACCTCAACACATTGCATCAGAGCCACAGACCCTTATTACTCTTTTTTTATGTTTTGCACCTTCTTTGCTTTCATCGTCACATACCGGCCATAAACGATCTATCAAAATTGACGTTCTCATCACGCAGGTAATGCCTAAATGTCAATGTATTCTCTAAAAGTTGACATCAATTATTTTTGTCTAACATTTTACGGCACAAAACACACATTTTCTTTGTAGTCATTATCAGTGTGTGGTGTCTGGATCGTGGTGGCCAGAGAAGGCTTTGTATAGGCCTGGGAGGGATTCACCTGTCAGCCACTAGGGGGATGATTGATAGAGGGGCCACTATAATTAAAACACTACAGTGACTTTGTGTGACTGCCGCTGTGCCCTGTTCCAGTCTTTTCACCACAGCACCAAACCAATAAATCCCATCTCCTCTGCTCTCCCGGGTATGACTCCAGACTTCGCTTGGATGTGAGACTTGTTATCTCATCATCAAACTTGGGGAAAAAAAGAAGTTATTTTGTCGGCCTTGAAGACTTGGCCGACTCCAAATCAAGGGGGTCCAACTTCCCCAAGCCGAAATCTTAAATGGGTTTTTAATTAAATTGATGAAGTGAGACCAACAAACCCCGGCTAATGGCTGGCTGCGCTCCCCGTGGTCCCAATGTGCCGGCTCTGGATTTGCAATTTCCAAATGATTATGCACCGCTGTGATTTATGTTGCCACCTTTGAGTTTGTTTTAAAATGGGTTCTCAGATGTTTTATAGAAAATGTGAGTTTAGACATGTAGGGATGAGTTGAAGGAGAGGAGGTTGGGTTTATCGCAGGGTTTCTAAGAGTGTAACTGAGGGGAGGGGAGAGAAATAAAGTCACAAATAAAGCATCTTCACTGAACTTTTGCCAAGCAGTGTCTCAATAGGGTATTAAGGCCAGAAAAATAAACTCGACTCTCAAGCAAACAAACACTTTTATTTTTGTATGTGCTTGGCCAATTGAGACAAATAAATAATTCACATATCCAGGCACAATATTTCAATTCAATATTAAATCTATATTACTGAGCAGCACGGTGGCGCAATGGTGTGTTTCTGTTTCTGTAGGTTTCCTCTGGGTGCTCCTGTTTCTCCTACCACCAAAAACATGTACAATAGGAATTAATGTAATGAGAGTGGTAATGGATTATGATGGCTTGGGGCTTTGACACTGAGAGTCCCACTTCTGTCACGAACTATAAAGAAGAGAGTGAAGAGATCGAGAATTGCTGGAACCACCAAAGTAAGTAACTGAGTGATCTTTATCTCAGTTGGTAGAGCATTGGTCTCTGAACCTATGGACGTGGGTTTGATCCCCACACGGCCCATGCCACCTGCTCCCACTGATACTGATGTCCGCTGTTGTTGTGTCCTAGGGTAAGACACTTTACCCCACTTTGCCTGAAGACTGCGTCTGGAGCCATCTTCCAGTGGAACCACAACCTGCAGGAGGAGCAGTGAGGGGCCAGTGCTATGAGGACTGGGCGGCAGCTCTGATATTCTGGGTTGGGGTGACCAGAAATAGACAAATAAAGGGGATGAAGATGAACCATCCTCATATCTATATATCTATATATCTATATATATAGATATATATATATAGCACCTTTCAGAAACCAGTCATTATTGTTATGAGAATTTTTCCTCTAACTCCACACATGAATATAATTAAAGAGTTAAAGGGGCATTATGTAACATTTGTTGCTTCTATTTTTGCGCTTAATACTTTGTAGTGACCCAGTGGCTGTAAGAGCATATCAATCAATCAAATCTAATTTATAAAGTGCTTTTCATACAAAAAAAAAGCAACACAAAGTGCTTTACAGTTTAGTTTAAAAACAATCCAATATGCCCAGCCCTAAACCCCACCGCCCCACAGACCCAACCAAAGCCACATTTATTATTAAATATACACACACACACACACAGACAGACACATATGAAGTCACATCACATCAGGTAAAATAGGAAAAACAATGAAAAGATATGGGGCTGGGTGCGGATGTAACCGGCTGAAGAAGGAGCATTCAAGGAGCAATCTGCACCAATAGCAGAGAACCAGCTGCAGCCACAGGGGACAACATAGGACCCAGAGGAGAGAGGGGGCCCCAGACCCCCACCAGGCCCAGGAGTGAGACTCCATCAGACCCAGGGGAGATAGGAGGCCCCAGATCCCCACTAGATCCCAGAGCCAGACCCCCGCAGCCACAGCAGACCCCAGCCCCCAGTGCAGAGGGCTCCTCCAGAGGAAACACTGGGGATACCAAAACAATACAATAACAATTAAAACATTAATATGTGACACTAAAAAGAAAATGGCAGTTGCCTAATAATAATGATAACAATAGGTAAATAACAAAAACAAAGTAAATAAATAAAAAAAATTGTCTAAAAACATAAATAAATTCAATAAAACAAATGAATTTACTAAAAAAAGCATAGTGCCTTAACAAGTCTGCATGAGCTCTTGCTGTGTGCAGAGGCGCCTCTCCACAGATGCGACCTGCATCTTGTAATGTGTTTTCACCCACTTGTCACCGTAGAAATTACAGATTTATTGAAATATATTCACGATTTTGGCTTCCCATTTTATTTTTCCCTGGTAAAATTGCTTGTGACTGTTCAGGGTCATATAGTGATTATTACGTCAAAAACAAAATATCTTCTGGAAACAAATAATCAGCATCCCAGCAGCACCAACAGAAAACTCTTCGGTTTGATTACTAAGACACAAAGACATAGTGTATTGTCGCAAGACTCAACTGGTAACATTTTGCTCTACAATAATGTTCAGGGAAAATGCAGAATTGGGTCACATTTACCCCTAACATTTGCAGCCGCCTTTTTACCCATTTCAGACTTTCCCACAGGATAGTCTCTCATTTGTCTCTTTCCTGCAAAATAATATTAAAAGAATTTGAAGGAAAAAACTCATGACTCAAGCGCCTTAAGCAAAGATCCAATTATGCATCAGTGACAGTGCTTAGTCATCTGCCACACTACACATTACTGCGGTAGATTTCTGTGGACACTGGAGTACAGAGCTGTGGGGCAACAGTGGTACTCGTATAACAGTGGTATCTGGAGTGTGAGCTGGGAGGAGATCCATCTTGATACCTGTTCACTTTTATGGGAGTCAAGGCCTATTCTGTCCACACAAGAGGCTCTAAAGCTCAAGGCGCCTGCACTCAACTCAGATAGATGAATGCAGTTAATGCCATTTATGGTTGCTTATTTCACACATCATATTTCCGAATGAACAATCCTTAACCTGGCTTGTGCCCTGCTGCTCGAAAATAGAAAAGTAGGAGGGATAAAGCAGGCGTATAAGTTTTATGCTGAAATTGCAGGTTTATAGATTCAATGCCAGTCAGAGGTAGCAAAACTAGAGTCAGTCTTAAAGGTGGGGTATCTAAAACCACCAAAAAAATACATCTACTGTAGTTCCTGGCTCTAAAGCAGTTTGTTTTTTTCTTAGTGCACAAAGTGCACCTGTGTATAAACCGCACCAGCTATATATGAAAATAAATAAAATAGTTTCCACACAAGTTGTGATATAACAGTTATATATTAACCAACACCTGATAGACGACTGCTTTAACTGGTCACAACATGATTTAATGACAAGATGTTTTAATGCACTGTTGAATAGGGACCAAAGCATACTTTTTTGACAAGAAATGTTTGTCCCATATGTACAAAAACTTCAGTAGAAATAACACAAAAATTGTCCATAAAGTTTTTTCTGACATTAGACCTGTGTATTTCCCTGTATTGGCTCTTTCTCTGAGCACTCATCACATAAACACACAACATGCAGGATTACATAACTACAAATATTAGCTGCAACGCTACACACACCACAAATTTCAATGAACTTAAAAAAAGTAGCAGCTTATAGTCCAGCAATTACGGTACTCATTTTCACAAGCATGTATTTTTGCCATCTGCAAAGTAATTTGACATTTTACTATGTATTGAGTTGTAAGTACAGATCTTTGTGTTTTCAAAGTACGGAGTCAAATATTTCAATCGTCAAGTAAAGAACAAACACCAGGATAGGACAGTACTCAGGTAAACTACTTGACACCTCTGATGTGCGTTTTGTCGGGAACCTTGTATGGTTTCAGGTTTCTAAATAATATTATGTGCATTATTATAACTGCAATGAAATTTGAATTGTAATCTTTTGGACAGCGTTATACTGTATAACAATACAATAAACAATTGCATAATACTAATTATCATTATTGGGGCAACAGTAGTTGGTCTTTGGACCTAATGGTTGTGGGTTCAATCCCACCACGACCCATGTCACCTGCTCCCACTGATGTCTGCTGTCGTTGTGTCCTTGGGCGAGACACTAAACCCCACATTGCCTGAAGCCCCCGCTGAAAGACCAAGGCCTTGTCCATCATCCTGTGGACCCACCACCTGCAGGAGGATCAACGAGGGACTGGTGCCCCGAGACTTGGGTGGCAGCTCTGATTGCCGCGACCCAGAAATGGATTAATAAAGGGGAAGACAACAACATGACCTGACATAATTAGCAAAATTTTTCCTATTAAACATTCACTATTATTGTGTCAAAGTCAGGGCTTGGTGTGAAGCAAAACACACAGGGAGTCTATGACAAAAACAGTCTGCATCTACTCTCCGTTATTCCATGTCCGAGCTCCAGCTGTGTCCATACGTCTCCAATAACTGGTCTGTTATTACATCCATGCATTAGTTAGTTGGTCCAGTTTGCAGCAGGATGCCTCAGATTATGACTGACTTGATGATACAATAAGTAGTTTGGCAAAAAATGATTAGTCTTGAGAGATGAAAAAATTGCCTGCTCTGCCTTTTCCTTAAACATTGTGTCTGCATTATCTTATCTTAATTAACAGGCAGCGATGTTTTATAATCCTTACATTACTACAAGAACATCTACAAAGGGCATCTGATCCTACATAACCCTGTACAAGTTTATAAAATGTGATAATTCTAAAGCTTTATATAGTCTCGCAGACAGTCCAACAAATTATCTTACCTTAAAACATTTGTAAATAAAGCTGTATTAGAATTTCAATTAGGTCACTACATTTCATGAAGACGGCTGCAGTTGCTCAGTGGCAGGAAAAGTGTGAAATTAGTCATAGGGAATAAATACTTTCAGTCAAAATACACTATAACAATGTGCGGGAAGTCTGCTGCTACACTGATGTATCGGCAGGTTGAAGCTTTGTAAGTAGTACAGCTTTAAGCTGGCAAAAGAATGCCGTTGGGATCCACTCAATTCTGCTCAATAAATCAAATAAAATATTGCAATGCAGCAGTGAAACTATATCCTTCTGTTATAACCGTCTTCATAAACACCAGGACATGTCTGAAATTACCCTTGACATGAAAAACAAACGGCTGTGGAGAATTATGACCCGCAGGCTTTGTGTCGACTTCAGACATCAAACTCAGTCCGGCCGACCAAATGAAGCAGGAAATGGTCCTCTCCAAGCAGCTCTGCATTTCAAATGATCCTGTTCAACCTGATGAAACTGAGGAGAAATCCACTGTGCGGAAAAATTGCCCAGTTTTTGTAAATAATAATACGTACTCGTACTAACCCATACAATAAAATATAAGCGCAAATAGAGATTCTTCGAGCAGTGCTTCCCAAAGTGGGTTTTTTAGAACCACAAAATATCTGCTAAACCCGTCTGTGTGATTATTTCCATTATACAGTGTTGCCGTCATGAAAAGGCAGGCAGCTGCCATGATTCACATCTTCATATAAAACCCATTATCAAGTGATGAGTCAGTGAGGCTAAGGCCTAAAAATAGCACAAGTTCAGTTCTCATTTTAACAAACTTTAATAATCACTTTTAAATCCACAACATTATTACAATTCTGTACAGCTGAACATGAAGAGAAATAAAATTTGACTTTTATAAATCCATTGCACGTCACATAATTTAAGAATCTTGCGCTTTCATACCACAGCAAACCATAATTCAGGTCCTGAGTTTTTCTGAAAACATGACGTTACCCAAGGGGATAGTGGTGACAGCCTTTGACAATAGAAAATAAGAAAATGTCACATTTGTACAAAACACATTTTTACAAATATACATAATAAAATATATTTTGAGTGCTTTTACAGTGAGGATGTTCTGAAGACTTCATTAAAAGTCAGTGGGGCCAGAGCCATTTACGCTCGAGCCAAATGTAAATATAAACTTGATGAAGAAAACAGTCATAAAAATACTATACTTTCTGGCCTTGTTTCTAATGCATTTTATATTTAGCCGTTGCAATTATTTTAAAAAGTTCATGTATAGTAAGTAACTCGTTAGCACATAGTTGTAAATGTCTATAATGTCACAATCTTAAGCGTTATAAATGTACGTGTTGACTTCGAACATTTAGGGCATTTGATGAAATGCATAAATATAAAAGGAAAACAAAATACACGATAAAGACCACAACGTTAATTTCCAGATACACCGCATTGATGTGATGCAAACTTTAAATATTCACAGTATGTATATGTTTCCAATCTGGTGGAAGATGTAGATCCACTGCTCATAATGATGTTGTATTTAAATCCTCAAGAAAATATTGAATACTGGAGTACAACTGCATGACGCCTTGTCTGAAGTGCAAACAGTTAAAAGGCAACAAAATCGATATCTTAAAACCATATCTCTAAAAGAATACTCTGTAGCCTATAAAAACCATCATTGTTATAAACGTGACAACGCTCCTCCCACACAGCAACATAAAAGTAACGCTTAAATATAGAGAGGGCTGAATGGGAGAAAGTCTCGGGGCAGAAAAGGAGCGTGTGGCGATGAGTGGTGTGCAGCGGTCATGACAGAATGTGTGGTCTGCTCCCGCCGCGGCTTCTGTGCCGTTCGTATTTGACCGAAATGATAAGAAAAACCAACAGAGTCAGGCCCTGGATCCCCGCCAGCAGGAAGAAGTAGTAGTGGAGGGAACAGTCGTTAATATTACCTGGGGAACAAAAACATCCATTTGAAGAGTTGTCTCATATCTGTATCATTTCATTTAGTTTAAATTGGATTTTTAATTAGACTTTTTTCCCTGCCCAATCTCTGCATGCCAACAGAAGAAATCAGATGTTTTCATAATATAAATGTATCAGATATTTTCTTTTCTCATCCGTTTTATTTTTTACAGATGTTATCTCTGATATTTTTGGCTCAATGCTACAATACGGAGCAGTGTCATTCTTCTGGATTATGGATATACTTTCTCTTCAGAAAGTGAGAAGTTGAATTTCTATTGACGTCTTTTTACACACTGTAAAAAGAGTCATTCTTAAACTTAGCACATTCGACTGATCAAAAAAGATAAATATAATGAGTCAGAAATGAAAGAGAAATTAGAAAAAATATGTATGTATGAGTATATAACAGCTGAAAATTCTCATTAAGATAAAATTCCTTAATATAGCTCTTGAGCCAAAATAGGAAAAAACTAAAATACCCATACAACAATTTATTTTGTCAAAGCTCAGACCAGATGCCACAGACACGACCGTAATGCAATCGTTGCAAAGAAAGTTGCAACAATATGTTAAAAGAAGTAGAAGACAGACTTTTGGTATCCAAAAGCAAATCTATCAAGACTTTAGATTGAGCGTTGGCTTAGGTATTTTTCATGTCTCACACATGACGATGAAACTCGGAGTGCAGTGCCACTCAGATACAGGGGCTGTATTGATGATGTGGGCCCTCAGCGCTGATTCCAGACACAAGTCTTTCATCATTATTAGAGCAGAGCTTCTGACGGAACAGAAGAAAAAGATTCCAGTAAGATTTTCTTAATGGGCATCTGCAGCCACAAATCAAAATCTAAAAACACATATTCTGGGGGCCATCTATGACATAAGGACCATGTGCCACAAGATGACCACAGATACAGTGGTCATCACTGAGGCAGTGATGCCCTGGGTATTCTTTTCAACATGCCATTACGACATGGCCCCTGCAGCGCAAACATTCAGCTCGTATTCAGCTTGTAACAACTTGTAATTCACAGACAGAAGCCTCTATTTCAGTGGTAGTATTCTTCCTGTTAGAGTAAATAAATATTAAAGATGGACTGAAATGCTGCCTTTTCTGTCAAATGCTTAGCGATCTAGGACAGTTTCAAATGAATTTGCAGTTTATGACACTGGGGAGGTCAGCCTCATTCAGACGTGAAACTCAAGAGGCCAAATAAACAAATGCTGTTTTGTCTCACTGAGGCTCACAATGTGAGGCTAAAAGCTGTTAGTATTAGAACTCCCACTGTGGAGAAGGCAGACAATTGGTTTGGTTTTGGAGAGGCTCCGGCCTCTTGACCATGTGAAGCCATGAGCTTTTTGGCTCTAGGCCAGTCCATTTTTGAAATTGTACTCCATGTATCACTCGTCAGATAAATTGTTTCCATTTGACCCAGCCAACTATTACTGCTCTCTAGGCTTATAAGTACATCTGTGGGACACTGCTCTTCTGATTAGAATCTGTTTTGAGTTATTGAAATCATTTTAAATGCAAAACCAATTAAATATACCTGATTAAATGAAGCAATATATTTGTAGTTAAATTGAAATTGTCGATGAATCATCAATTTCTGCCTGGTGAGACTATGGAACTTTGATCAAACAGAGCAGTGTGATCACTGCACCGCCTGGAACCACTGGACACTGAATCCAACTCATCTGATCCAATCTGAATTTACCACATGGTCATTATAAACTTAATGTGCCATTTGAATAATAGAATAGGAAAAAAATAATGTCCTTGATAGAAGCGAGGGAAAGTGCATTTTCACTGATCCAAGCTTGTTTTTCAATCGATAACTCACTTGAACAGATTGTCAAGCGAGCATGCCCTCCTGGGCTTTTAATTAGCACCAAAGCATGCAGTGTTTTCTTAATAGTAAGTTAATAATGTAGAGAGGAACGGCACAAGACAAAATCAGTTTTGACTAAGGCTAAATGTTTCAAGTAAAAGCAGTCCATCTAACGCCATAGTTTAGTCACAGCAGACTTTACTTTGTGTCTTTGACAGATTATGAATATCAGCCCTGAACAAATCCTAATGAGAACAGTTTTATTTTGTTAATCTCCTCACTGTAGCTTAGAGGTTGCTGTAGGCAATTCACCATTGTGCTTTTTATACATTTGACATCTTAGACTAGAAACTAAAATGAATTAAGAAAGCTTTCTCCTTGAGATAAAAATAAATAGATATGTTACAGCTCAATTTGGAAATGGCTGCACTTCAAGTTCATGAGAAGGTACATACATCAATTGCATCATCATGGAGGGTAAGTGAATTGCGTAATCTCAACAAATTGATTATTGAAATAGTAGTCAACCAATTTAGAACTGGATTACATACATTTGATTTTACTGGGTCAGAACTGCAGAAATAAATAAAAATGTAAAAATCAAAAAACAAAATGTGTAACAAGTCATATCTAGGAAAATGTTCTTCAGGGACTTCACGAAAGCTTTATTTTGGGCAAATGTATACAAAAAAAAAAAACATTCTGACTGTCCTAGATACAAACAACTAATTGATTAATCACAATAAGAATCGGCCAACTAATGATCATTATCAAAATAATTCTTAATTACAGCCCTTAGGAAGATGAAGTAATAATAGTTCAAATAAAAATGCTTAACCTGCTTTTGAATGGTCTGTCTGTATGTTTTAAATTGGACCTAGAGTCTGTAATAAAGTTGAATTGAATAATGCTTTAGATCTACAGACGGATCAGGTACAAAATAGTCATTGGAGAATTTGACTTTCAAATGATTCTGTGGTGACTGAACAATCACTAAAGAATACATGGATTTTTATTGAATAAATAATATTGTAGATTATCATTTTATTATAATCTACAATATAATTATTTATTATTTAGTCATACAGTCGCTGTCCTGCAGACACCCAGACCGGATATCCAGGGTTAAATAAGATTTAGGTAAAATATTCTGCTAAAGGTCATTTGAAGCAGAACCCTTTGAGACAGGGTTAGAGATCATGTAAAATGTGTCAGGTGTGACATTTAAATCTTACCATTTCTCCCAAATTATGACCCGTTGAAATTTTGAGCGATTGTTATGGCCATTTCCTGTCACATGACCCAAGCCTAGACCCCATTTACCAAGACTCAATGACACAAAAAGCGAGGGAAATTAATTCAGGCTTTGAAACAAAAAGCCTTCTCCTGTGTAGCGGGTACACACTTGTGAATAGACTAAAGGTTGGGCTTGGATTGACTTCGCTCACAGGTTTAAGCAGCAGCTGCGTCTTTGACAGGAGAGATATGACGGCGTTACAGCAGAACTACACTGGTGGAATACCAAATAAGAGTGTGATAAATGGCTATTCAGGCTGAGGTAACTATACGGGAACTGTGTGCAGCAAGATCACAGCGATCAATAACTTCTGCTACTCACGATGGTCCGAATCCAGACTTTGATTTCTACTTTTGCAGATACGGACTCAGTTAAGTGCGGCAATCAAAATTCAAACGTACATTAATGCACAATTCCCTCAAAAAAAATAAAGATAATAATCCACTAAACTTCCATAATGTTCCAATAAAGGTACAACAACATGTAAATAATTAAAAGGTAATGTTTGATTATACATGGACATATATGCAAAAGAGCTAATACAACTTGAGATGCTGGACTTTCCGTTCCATTAAACATTTAATGTGATGTTAAACTTCTACCCCAGTCTTTATGTTGTGTCTATTTGTTGTTTATTGACCTTTATTTAATCAACAGAGGGGAGCTATTGTACATGTTTTTAGAGAAAATATTTCTCATCTGACCACAACACCTTCTTCCACATGTTGAATGCGTCTCCCGCTTGGCTTCTTGCGGCTTCATTTCAACACTGGCTTTCTGCCGCTCGTCCATAAAAGTCAGATTTGTGAGGTATATGGCTAATATTTTCCCCATGTAGACTCTCCCAGATGACCGTGTTACCACTGGCCTATTTTAATAAAACAAAGATTATAAAACGTTTTGTGTAATTTTATCATTTTGCTTTGATTACCACTTTGCAGTGGTCTTTCACAAAAACTAAAATGAAAAAATAATTTATTTTTGTTTGTGGTCATGAAAACATTTGCAAGAGTTCCAGTTGTATTTGCACCGCTATTTTTGTATGATTTAATAAACATCAACATTTATGTTAATTGCTTTGTTTTGACCCTAAATAAACCACAAATAAAGAAAACCATTTTGCCACAAAGCAATTCGCAATAGATTTTAAGCTTTGAACTTGACACTTATGAACTAGATAGAATGCGGTAAGAAAGTATTTATGTGGGATTTTGCATATGCTTGCTAACATTTAAGGCGACAGAGTCCCAGTACCACAGGAGAGCTTAGCCTTCACTTGTGCGGTGCCAGACTCGCTGTGCCATCTCCATGTTAAGCTCGGGGGGCAGCTTTACTTAAGAGGGAGCAGGGCTATGTAATCAGACCTCCAGCCTATGATTAATGTTTTTCATCTGTCTTCGGGCATGTGCAGCTCGGGACAAGTCGAAAAATCTCACCCAAGATGCTGTTTACTGCACAACGATTTTGCCCGCAGCCATGAAAATAAGCTTGAATCCATTGCACCTAGAGAGCCGTGAGACGAACAGACCTACTTTGGAAAAAGCTGAAAAATAGTCTGCACCAGGTCTCGCTTACTTATTTGACACGCGTCTTTTATCTGTGGCCAGGAGGATGTTTTTTTTTTCCTCAACTCACCTTTAAGACAACTTGTTTTGGATAGGAAAAAATGAAAAATAATCGTCAGACTATCTACTCTAGTTTAACTGCACCTGAAGTCAAGGCAGATTGAGCTAAGGATGAATTTAGGAGTCGTGCCAAGCATCTTCCAGTGCTGGCATCATCAAAAGCAGTCCTTCTACCTGTCTGTGCGCTGTATTAATGAGCTATTAGGTGTTTGTGGGTAAACAATTTACAGTGCTGGCTTATTTACCGCAGGCTCAGGGAAAAGTACATCTGGGTTGGGAGCCCCGTCTCGCTGGGGAGCCCATTCATCTGCTGCTACTGCCCTCCATTCACTCCTTCACGCGGACAGATTTACACACGCCTTTTGTCGTTTGGCTGACATGACTATTTGTTATGGTAAGCCCTTTAAAAACAACAGCAGAGTGTTGGCCCCACCAAAAAATCTCATTTAATTTGTTCTAATTCTGCAGTATGATCATATCAGGATAACTCATGAAAATAATACAATTTTAATATTACTTGTTACTCATTTGCATATCTACCTTTTACTTTCTTATAATCAACTCTGACCAACAATGGATATAAAGATTTTTCTTCATAGGTTGTTTTTATGTAGTAGTAAGTAAGTAAGTATTTTTTATTTATATACCGCCTTTCACAGACCAGAGTCTCAAAGCAGTTTACAATTGATATTTTTGGGCATTTGTCTCTCACTCCACACAGAGATGGGAGGAGGCCCAGTACAGGAGGCGCATGCCAGACCTATTGTACATGTTTTTGGTGGTAGGGGAAACCGGAGTACCCGGAGGAAACCTACACAGACACAGGGAGAACATGCAAACTCCACTCAGAAAGACCCTGGTCCGACCGGGATTCAAACCCAGGACCTTCTTGCTGAGAGGCGAGAGTGCTATCCACTCAGCCACCGTATGTCAAATTCTCTAAAAGGTGCCAATACAACTCTATTAAAAAGTCTTTTAAATAAATATGAAAGAAAATATTTTTTTAAATCTTTATTTGATTCATGCCATGTCTGTATGTATGTCTTTTTTACACGTTTCTCACATTTTGTGATTATTAGTCTCAACATTTTGGAGAAAAAAATTATACCATGTAAGAACCAAAAAACAAGATGAAGCATTTTGTTTAATTTGGATTGGAGCAGGAATGAGAAACGACATGTCTCTAAACTAAGACTAGAAGACACACATAGACATTGTTACTGTATCAGCAAAGATTTTTCAGCTGCCCTCAACCACACTTTAAACTATTGGCTCTTTGTAATTTTGTGCTGTCACTTGAACCCGACAAATTTACTCAGCATAAATTGAAAAAAATATGTATATATATTTTTCCCTTATGCTGACTAACAACTAAAGAGGAATCATTTTAGAGCTAATGAAAAGTATATTTTAATTAAATGCTCACCAAAGTCTTTGTGTGATGACATCCATCCAATCTGTGGCAGGGAGACAATGGCCAGAAGCCCAGAACCCACAAATGAGCCGATCCCAGAGAAGAAGAAGAACAGCCCCATGATGGCACTCTGCATGGACTTGGGGGCAGCAGAGTAGGCAAACTCCAAGCCTGCAACAAATGGATCTGAAGTCAAGCTGGTTTTAGATGAAGACTCTTTTTAGAGTTCTGCATTGAACCTAGAATAATAACAACACTTGTAATACATATGTGTAGTGATTTAAGACTTTTCCATCTTGTTTTGTAAATTACTTGTGGCCATGAATTGTGATATACAAATGAACTGTCCTTGACATACAGTCCCACTTCTCTTTTGACAAACTGGTTCTCATCAGCCATCAAACTATACTAAATTTCTAATTCGTTTCCCGAATTAGAAATTTCTTCAGCATGCACAAACAATAATCCCTCTAATTTGTAGTTAGCCCTAGACATAACTTTATAAACCACCGCCTTTTTTGCATATTGGCAAGAAAAAGGACAAAAACCTAACATGTTCCTTTAATGGCTCAGTAAAAAACATGCTTGCCAACAGACATTGATAATTTCATGGCAGCTCAAATGTGATTTTTCAAATGAAGCCCTATAGCCATGTCTGTCAGGAGAGATTAGGGAGCTGCGCTGAAATACATTTGCCTTTTAAGACCTTTCTTGCCTTGTGACATTGTACATAATAATGACTCTACACATTTAATGCAAAATGGTGCAAAAGGAAAGCCGCATGGGGCACAAGAAGGTAACAGTCTTGATGCAGAACTCCCGGCCAGGTACCAAGAACAGACTGAAGGAAATGTCATTACTGGTCCTCAAGTAGAAGTGGGGAAAAAAGTCACTTTCAAATGACTATGATTGAACTATATGGTTCTATCCATGAAAACAGTTTGGTTCCATTACTACTTGTAATATGCATGCATTCTTTGGCCTTTTTCACTTTTCTGTCTGAAAAAGCTTCTTCAAAAAGGTGACGAAGAGGACCATTCCTCCTAAATCAATCACGTCTTTCCTTAAGGCCAAGATGGCACCCACAAATCATTAGGTGATAATTACAACCAAGGTTTAAATATGAATTGTTTTTGCAATTTCATTTGTATGAATAACATTTTTAAGGATTCAATTCCATCTCACTCCAGGTTGGAAATCACTGATGTAAATCACAAAAGGTAACAGAAAAGGTAAGGAATAATTTGAAAACATGGGCCACCAGTAAAAAGGTGCATATTGTTTTGCCTGAAATGTTTGACAGTATGGCATTAACTTTACATTGGAGAAAATAAAGATAATCATTTTTAAATTATAAGTATATTTTATTGTCCCAGAGGGAAAATGTGTCATCTGCATTTGACCCATACTTCAATGACACTAGGGCAGAAGTGTTTCACTAGTTTTATTTTCTATATATAAAATGTCATTTGACAAATTAGACAACACAATTAGATCACAGATTACTTTTAGAAAACATGTGTTTCTGGTAGATATTTAAGATGATTTAAATTACGTTTTGATTAGAACCAAATCTTGACGGCTCAAAGAAGGCTTGTAATTGTAGACTGATTTATTGAAAACATTACCTTTAAAGTGAGGTATAACAAGCATTAATGGTTCAATGTTTATGATCACAGCATAAGTTTTTTTATAGAAAAATAAAATCAGTTCAGGGACTATAAAAAATTATGTCGTTTGACACGTGCACTATCGGCAAAAATGTCTTTCAATAATTACAAGTGTTGTAAAGAAGTAAAAGAAATATAATCAAAAATAAACAACATCCCAATTGCAATGTGCATCGTTTACAGTCCTATGTATGACGCAATTAGTACAACTCAAAAAGTTGGCCAAGAAGCAGAAATGTATCTCATTCTTCTGGAGAAAAAGGGATGCATCAAATAAATGCCACCTCCACTCAAAGAACATGACCTTAAGTAATAGCAGGATGACTCAATCATAGCTTGACACATTGGCAAATGTGAATCTGAGGTAATTGAAGCCTGGAGTCAACAGGAAATGGTTCTTTAAACAAACAACATTTTCATTGATTTTCATTCTGTAAAGAAGCACCACAGAATACTGGGGTATAATAGTTCTGTATTACAGATTTCAGTGCTTATTCATCATCCTTTTATAGGAAGATTGTATTGTTGCTGTTATTTTGAATATTATCTGACTCTGAAGCTTCCGCTTGAAAAAACTATTTCCCACTTAGTCACATTGTGTCAGACCACTTTTTTTACCTATGAACTGAAAATCCCATTTAATTTTAAGCTTTATAACATGTTTGGAAAAAAAAAAGTTTGTTCATCAAGCATTGATTTCTATCTTATTGCTCTTTTCCTGGGACTGACATCCACCGGTGTAATTTCAACAATTTCAAGTAAATAAAGTATTTTGCAGTCACATTGCTCTTTTCATAAGCTCAATCATCATAATAAAATAATAAAAAATCCATCCATCCATCCATTTTCTTCCCCTTAATCCATTTCTGGGTCGGGGGGGTGGCAGTCAGAGCTGCACCCAGTCACAGAGCACCAGCCCCTCACTGATCCTCCTGCAGGTGGTGAGTCCACAGGAGCTGAGATCTTTCAGTGGGGGCTTCAGGCAAAGTGGGGTTAAGTGTCTTGCCCAAGGACACAACGACAGCAGTCATCAGTGGGAGTCGTGAAGTAGGTCTTGAGGTGGGCTTGAACCCACGACCTTCAGGCTCAAAGGCCAATGCTCTACCAACTGAGCTACTGTCGCCCCCATAATATGACCCTCAGAAGTTTATTCAAATACACTTGTAAAATACAAAGAATAAATTAAACCAATCAACATTTGACTTATTTGACAAATAAGTACTGCAAATGGCAATAACCAAGTTACTAATGTCTAAAGATATAATTATTAATGGATTTCCAAATACATCCTTCCATGTTTAACACAAAACATACGTACCTGCAATACTTGCAAAGACTTCGCTGATCCCAATGAGGACATATTGGGGCACTTGCCACCATATCGGCAAATATGCAGCAAAGTAAGTCACATCTCCAAACTCCTGATCAATGGTGCCATTTGTCTTGACAATATCCAGTCGCTTGGTTTCCAAAATTCCTATAAAAAAGGGAGAAATAGTAATCAAATAATAATATATATCCTGCATTTTATTATTATTATTTATTCCTATTTTTCCAGGGATTGATTGAGAGGAAAAAAATGTCTGCTTGTAATCCGGAGATAATGTTAATGCTGGTTTTCTTTCTCATGCCATGTGACATTTGGACAGCGTAGCTCAAAACAGAGCACAGTCATACTACACATTCAGCATTACATGCACAAATAAATAAAGATGTTTTTGACACCTAACAGTTACTGAGCTCTATCCAAGCCGCTTAGTGGGATACAACATTTATAGGATTTGATAAAACACGCACTAAGCCACATCAAACATAGCATGACTCAGAGCTGTGTCCACTTTTAAAAAGCAGGAAACTGAATAAAAAAATAGCCTCACAGACACTTAGGGACAGCAGCCTCAGATGGTTCTTCCAGCCATATGAAGTTAAAATGGCAGGATGTGCTTTGAAACCATTAGAAATATTCCTGCAACTGCACCAGTCTTTTCCCTTGATTAAAGTGGTTTTATTTGAACAACAATGTTACGATGAGCGTCATGCAGTGGTGAGCGGAATACAACATGTGCTGGACTGACGGATCTCAGGAAAAAACGTCACTTTTGATTCATAACGAATTTGTGTACATACATGTTCTTGCGGACATGGCAGATAAACGGAACACAAGAATACGGCAGCTGACATGGACACTGTTCAAAAGTGTAGAAAATATAAGGCAGCCTTCAGGAGTGAGGCACACGAAGCAAAGCAATGGTACTGATGAACAACTGCTCGCTGCAGGCTTTCAATAACTCTACAATGATAGTGTTCAAGGTTGACTTTACAATACTTAACTATTTGAAAAAATTATAGCAAACCAATATAGAATTATAATAATTTAAAACTTAATTTTAATGGTCCAACCTGGCTGTTAATCTACATTATACAGACCGTAGTCCGAGAGGCAACTCTACGATTTATCATTACTGTTAAAGCTCATGTAAAATTATAATGACATAAAACATTGAACATTGTGTTTTTATGGAGAATTTTGCCTCTCCTACACCTGCCCAGATCCTTTCTCCATATTCATCTTGACCTCTTTATCTGCACATATTACAAATTTATGTTATGTACTTTTTTGGGCCACCCACAAAGTAATTGAGCTGGTAATTTGGTCAGGGCCAAATTAATAATTTGTACCTGGTCAAGGGCCATACCCTTTTTGTACTTTCATACTACAAATGTATTGATTGTTTTTTAAAGTTTAAAGCTCAACTTTTGAATATTTTTTTAAAAATAATTTGGGTAAAGAAGGCTGAGAATTTTATACTGATGGGTGGGTTTCTTCGAGAAAATCCCACCTCATCAAAGCTGCAAGTTTCAAGAATTCAAATATGCCAGGGGCCTCATTTTGACATGCCCGCCCAGGCACATACTGTATATTCACTTATGGACATACTGCACATTACATACATATACTATCATTGGATTTAAATGTGTTTACATTAAAATGGAAAAAACACTTTATTTGATCATTCTTAAAGAGAATGTAAAATATGTATGTACTGCAGGGTGGTCAACGGAATGATAGTTCTTCAGGGACACTTATAAATGCAGAAAAACCCTATCAATCAATATTTAAAAGGTCATTAATGACAGAACATATATAGTGCTTTAGAGAAAGGGCAATGGTTCTACAATATATAGTGTAATGTTCATCAATCCTCATGAGTGTCACTGATTTGCTTTCCTTCAGCCTCGAGGCGAATCTCTCTCTGGCATTCTCAATGTGTCAATGCATCTGCAGCGGCGGCAGGCACCACTGACACTTCATTTCTTTAATAATCAGCGTATTGTGCTAGCACCACCTCTTTTTAAAGGCGTGCACATAAACAAACATGTCAGTGTTACTCATGATGATGTATTGATAGGTTTATCCACATGATCTCTTTTTAAAGCAACTACTTTCTTGAATTCAGTCGGTACCTGTGCTCTGACACAACACTCACCAGCCGCCACAGCAGACCACATGACAAAGAACATTCCCACAGCGATCCTCTTGAGCGAGGAGGGCAGGAGGCCTCTGCGCTTCAGTATGGGGTCCACCACTCTGTCCTTCAGAGGGATCAACAGCAGGATCAGCACTGCATCAAACATGGTGAGCCAGGCCGCAGGGAAGCGGAATAGGATCTGTGGGGGTAAATAATCAGCAATAGATCAAGATGCAATAAAAACTGCAGAATATAATCAAAGACTGACACAAGTCTGGCTTCCTATTGTTTGAAATGTTTCACTCACAGAATGAGTGGAGTTTGGTTCTAGGGGAAAGCTTTAGCTTGATACAGCTTTGGCACCCCCAAGTGGTCAAATTCAGGTATAATCAAACAAACAAAATCTAGTTTTGATTATATGATATACTAAATGTCAGATACCAATTTAAACTACTACCTCCCACCAAAACATATTAGTGACATGTTAGTACCATATGAACCAGCCCGGACTCTGAGGAGCACAGTGACTGGACTCCTGTTAGTGCCCAGAGTCAGAACTAAACATGGGGAGGCTGCTTTTCAGATTCATGTTGCTAAAATCTGGAACAATCTTCCTGAAGACGTGCAATATTTAAAACCAGTTCTGTTTAGCTGTGCATACAACTGAGGGATTGCATATTTTATAAATTAATCTTTCTTTTTAATGTAATGTGATTATTTATGATTTTAATGCTTTCCTATTTTGTTCTGCACTTTGAGTTGCCTTGTGTATGAATTGTGCTATACAAATAAACTTGCCTTGCCATGGATTATACTCACAATATTGACTTTAAAGTGAAATTATAATTAGAATAAAGACTAATTATGAGATTAAAGTCAACGAAGAAAACGTCTCAGAAATATAACTTTATTCTTGTAATTCCATTACTTTTTTTCTCATAGCAGTATGGAAATAAATTTGTAATACTTTCACATTAATTAATCACATTTAATCAATTCCGCAACCAGGCCTCCGGCTGTATGTGCTCTGTCCCAACCGCAAGTGAGGAAGGGGGAAATTACTGCAAGGGGGAATGATAATAATAATTTTAAAACGGTTTGATATAGTACTCTGGACGGGGTATCTCAAGGTTTCTTTAGCAGCTTTGTATGATGGAACTCCATTGTCTCCATTATGCACAAACTGTGAATTTTTCTGAATTTATCTCACAATATTTCAAGTTTTTCCTCATAATTACTGTAATCTTACTTCAATTATGTAGAAATGTATGACTGTAGAGATCAATTTGTTGAATGTGTTGAAAGCCAGAGCACAAATAACTGTACATGTAAAGAAGGAGCCTCTTTTCTAGTATGAAAATAGTAGTTGATAACATCAGAATGGTTCAGAGTGTCAGGTGAGGTGAAAAAGCAGAGGCATCTAATCTCACTTCCTGTTTGATGTTTGAGACACGTTGAGTCCAGAGCTGAAGAGGCTTAGTTTGTTTTTATAAGTGACATGTTGTGAGAGAAAATAACTCCTAATGATTTTGAAAGTAAGTAGTAGCAGCAGTGTAATTGCTTTGATATACTGCCATTTAAATGTACTTTATGTATGTCTGAATGACCAGTCCCATTTTTAATTAAAATGCAAAGTGCATTACAGGCAATGATTTAAACAGATAAAGAGTGGAAATGAATAAAAAAAGAGAATAATTCATAGCCAGGTTGCTGGTCTGTGAGGTATTAGGATAAAGTAGTAGTTTAATCCCAAAGGAATCACATATCTTTGCTGCTGCCTCCAGATGTTGGTCTCGACTGAATGGCAGTGAACTATATAATTTTACTATTTAGTAAAGACAAGAACAATTTTGTTAATGTCATAAAAATATAAAAGCATCCAAGCATATTATGATATTAAATGTATTAACAGTGTAAATTATTGACTCCATTAGAAAGAGGGAGTTGTAGAGAGACAGCAAATAAGGTAACGCACCTTATTTGAGTCTGCAGTGTTGTTGGGAGAAGAAATATAAGGAATCCTGAGATGGAGGCTCTGCAGGATGTAAGTGGTCTGCATCTGAAACACAATGAGATTGAAGTCTCAGCATGAAGTGAACATATCTTATGAGCACTAACTCATCTGCAGGAATAATATGTATGCTCACACAATGACTTTGCACAGGAAAAAGAAATGGATATGCATAAGACAAATTAACAAATGTAATAAAGTGAAACAAAAGAAGCAACCAGAAGCAGAGTGATTAATGTTTAAAGAGTAATATCATAAAATTTTTATAGAGGGTACCTGGAAGTATACTGTCCAGTATGGGATGAGAGCAAAGAAAACTGGAAGAATTTTCATCAGCGCTTTGACTTCTTCAACTTTTTCCTCAGGAAATTTCCCTCCATAACTCACTTTGGCACTGTCCAGTAATGAAGGCTTGTTACTACAAAAATAACAACAAAAAACGTGTGTCATTGGACTGTCTTACATGCAATAAACAAATAAAGAATATAACAAAACAACAGCAAATCTGTTTTAGCTCATAGGACTCACCGAAGCAGGTTTGTCTCTTTAGGCTTTTGAGAACAGCAGGCAAAGCCCAGTATCTTGAACATATTTGAGAAGGCACTCCCATCAGCAGGTTTGGTGATAAACACAGTACGGCCAAATAGGAAAACGATAAAAGAAATTCCCAAACACACTGTGGGAATAATGTATCCAGCCTCAAAGCTCAGGTTCTGCTGTATGTAGGCCACGCATCCCAGAGACAGAATGGCTCCCAGGTTTATGCACCAATAAAACCAGTTAAAGAATCTGCGTGTAGCTTCTGGGCCTCGGTCTTTGACCTTAAAAACAATACAGCCACAGTTAGACAAAGCGGAAATTCATCGTTTTAGCTGCAAGACAAGTAATTGTCTAGAAATAGTTACAACTTTGATTCATTATTTTGTAAGACAGTATATGTGTTGTAATGTTTCTTGTATTCATTTATACTTAATGCAAAATATGGCTGATGGTTTTCCTTCAACAAACTAGACATTTTCACAATTCCAGAGGATTTTGTCAATGAAATTCCAGTCTTAAAATCTCATTGCTTCCAAATAGTTGTAGATTATTTTTTAAAACCTGATTAGTTGTTCCTTAAAACTGCCTGAGCAAATACTGATAAAAATAATAGATCATCAGTACCAGACACAAGGACTTTCAGTGGGCGTGCCCAAAGTGAAACAGCCGATTACCACAAGTGAAGCTGTTGTAACCATTAAATATATAAAAGCAGAAGTCCCCCTCCCCCATAGGAACATTTCCGCATTAAAAGTGACAAGGATGTCTTGTTAATGCAAAAACTGTCTGCAGGGCCAACATAAAAAAATATGGCATTTTACTTATATAGATCTTTTTGGACAAGAAAGAGAAAACATCCCAAAGTATTTCAAGTGAAATACTGAGGTAATAATACAAATGTGTTTTTCTTAATGAAGGATGTTCTGGTGTGTATGCTTATCAAAGTGTCATGGTACTAGATTATTTCCTGTCACATGTTTAGCGTACTGTCACACTGAATTCCTAATTTTGTGCACATCAATGGTGAATATTTTTTTATTGCAAATATAAAATAGCTTATACTTCACCTGATCCGCTCCAAATGGTGTAATATTTGACTTGACTGAGCCCACACCTAAAGCAATAAAAAAAAGTCCAGTATACAGAACTGGGGCACAGTAAGGGTCTCGGACAGGGCATGTAACGTTGCTAGGAAGGGTACCATTTATGCTTAAGCACTCTGCAGGCTGCACGGGGAATGGCTTTTCTGGGCCACAGAAACCAGTTCTAGTATCTTCATTTGCAATAAAAGGGAAAAACAACATTCCGATGAAGTATAGTATCAAACTAGATGCAATTGTCCAAAACCTTCCTAGATACGCATCAGCCAACCACCCTCCGAAAGGTGAAATCAGGTAGGTGACACCCATAAACATCAGAAGAGCCTGTGTGGCTTGGGTCGCTTGCCAATAAAATGGATTCTTATTGAGAAATAAAACCAAATTTGACGTGATGCCATAAAATGCGATCCTTTCTAAAGATTCAGCCAGCAGTATAGCAGCACATGCCAGTCTTCTCCCCTGGAAAACAGAGGGTTGAGTGGGTCTGGTAGTATCAGATTCTAGAAGTGGCGTGGTCTCCTGGGCATCCTTGTTGTAATTAGCCATTTTTCCAAATTGAATGGTCACTGCTAATAATATTCTTTGTGATAAAAACCTGAAAAACAAAACATAGATCTGGTCATCAAGCACATTATTTAGGAATAAAGGCAACATTTTCCGCATTTTAAAGTAATAGTATAGTTCCACAGTATGGCAATTTATTCGTGTCTACCTCTGAAGCAAGCCCACTTACATGATGACAAATCCAATTATAAAATAACTGAGCCAAATTATAATATACACTGATAAAATAGAATATACAGAGTTACGCAGTAGCATCTCCATGGTGACGACAGAAAAGTTGCATTGTGCATTTTTACCCACAACGCAAAAAACAACACGGAAAATGATAAACGCAAAATAAGTCTGGCCTACACACACCATGATCCTTGTTTGTTTGATGGTAGGGCAGTCACGAGTGAGTTCACGTACCTTTATTAGTTAGCTAATAGTGTCGGTGCCACTTTCCATAAAGTTTACAGAATACGTCCACGAGCAGAAGTTGTGGTTGTCCTAGCGCAGAAACATGTCTGAGGGCTCAATTCAACAGAAAACCAGAAATGTCACAGAACTACCGCGTGACACACACCGCAGTCAACAAACAGTTCGTCGGTCCCTCATAAAGCGATTTATAGATGGTATTTCCGCATCCCATAAGAAACAAAACGTAAACATAGAGTAATTAAATATTATATAATATTCAAATGTGAATTATTTTATGATATATCAGTTAAATTGCTATTTTACTATATCATAATAATATTTTTTGTAAACGTTTGTAAGCGCGCCACCATCCATATCACGTACGTATCTATTTCCGCATTAGCAAGAAGCAGGAACAGAATGCGGAAGTACGGGGAAGTACCCATCTGTTTTGTTTCCCCCCCCTTCGATCAATGTGAACTTTGACAAATCATCCATAGAACTGTGTGAACCGGGTGTCTACGGTCTAATTTGTCCCAACATCTTATTTATATGCTGAGACAGTAAAACTCCACATAGTGTGAATTGTCGGTGTGTGTTTCCAGGGGATGAAATAAGTGGCGGACTTGTAAACAATTCAGCGTGGCTTGCGTGGCACCCCCCTAGCAGCAGCAGCCACTATGCACTCACCTACATTCAGGAAATGTAGTTTATCTAGGCAAGTGACATATGTGTCGCTGAAACTACCGACCTACATTTGACTACTGTGTCAAAATCGACATGAAAATTCTGCTTATAGCTTGCCTCAATCCTCAAACTGGAAATAACACAACAGCTGAGCGAATAAGGTAATCCATGTGCAAGCCTGTTGGAGTTCAAACGTGTCTATTTGAGGAAAGTGATGTCATCGAACACGGACACATTATAACTCTGCGAAACATTTCTAATGTCTTCGGTTGACATATGATCTATGAACTATTGTAAACGTGTTAATGGTGAACTGTCTCCCCTGTTAATTATTGATAAGTTTTATTTTGGAGAGACTTATGTTTGAATTGCTAATACGGACTGTTTTGGTAAGGTGCCATAAATGGTTTAATAGTTCAAAATAACGACATATTTCACTGTACAGGAATCACATTGAAAGTGCAGGACACATATGTGAGCTCAGCGATGCAGCAGAGTTCCAATCTTCTACTGAGGTGGCACAGCTACTGTCCCAGGATCCTCTTTTTGAAGGTGCGCTGGCGATCCATCTATTCAAAGCTGGGAGACTGCTCTTAGGTAAATGTGAAACAACAGTTGACATTTGTGTCTTTATGATGTCAGTGATACGGCGGTCGTCAAGTGATGATAAGTAATCTTCAATGCTGCTGCTTGTTAAAGGAATGTCATGACCTTTTATGTACTATTTCTAACCTTTACAACAGATATCCCAGTACCTTTCGGAGTTATCTTTGGAGGAACTGACATAAATGAAGACATCAAGGTTGAACAGAAGCGTTTTTTAATGGAACAGGTGCTGCAGAAGGCCAGGTACGTGTGTGTCTCAAACCAAATCCACTACAGTTTTGTTGTTGGTTATTTCCATTTCAGAGCTTGAGTAATGTGGTTTCTTTATCACCAATGGTCATTTTCATACATTTGTGTTGTATCAAAGGAATAAGATTAATTCATACAGAATGATCTGGGCAAGCTCCGAGTCTTTGGATGGACATGCAGTATATTATAGAAATCATACAGTGCAGGCTCACCAAAACCTTTTTTTTTGTCCTGCCCTGCTGAAATACTATTGATGATGTGCAAAGGGGAATTAAGTGAAACTCTGCTAGAAACCTGCCGAAATAATTACTCTCTGCATGAGCTGCACCGTATGAGTTGTAATCTTTACTAAAATAAAATACTGAAATTTAGGCACAGCATAGCTCTGCTCTCCAACCTATCACCTTGATCATAACATTCAGACACCATGCTACCTGTCAATAAGGCACCATGCTGTATTCTGTAATTGTGGTATATAGAATAACGACTTAACACATTGAATCACTTTTAAGGTTTGCTGTTGCCTTCACTGATAAAATGAGAGAAACCGCAGAATTGTTCTTGGTAAGTGCTAATTTTTCTATACCTTCTTCTTCATAAAATATGTTTTATGGCTGTTTAATTCATATTGACACATTTCTATTCAGCCAATAACCTCTCTCCAACACTGCTAACCATAAACAAACATAAACAGATTTGGCTCCAGTTTTAGAGCTGCTCATGTAACGTTGACAGCTTCTATTAATGTGAAAGAAGAGCATTTACTATACTTGCCCAAACCCCTGCACTGTCCTCTAATAGTTCACTGTTAAAACAATATTGCAAAGTTTTTCTTTTAGATTAGATTTTCTCTGGCGGCTACCAATGGACCTAGCATGCTTTATCTGTGCCATTTTGATCTGACAGCGGGGCAGGCCAGGGCAGAGGCGCCGTAGTGGGTTTTATTAGGAGTGAAAACACACAAGCGGGACGGGTCTAGTGTGATAACAACCAGTCAATTTCCTCTCTGTCTTCACTGATTTATTCTGTTACACTCTCATAAGGCTTCACTACGTTTCTAAGTCTCTTTTAGTTGCAAACTGTTCTGATAATAAAAAGATGACCTGTATGGGAATTTCATATTATTCTATTTTCACTCTTATTGGAATGTTTTTAGTTATAACAAGTTTACTATAATGACATATAGTTGCATTTTACTCGTTTTCTCTCCATAGTTTTCCCAGAGGTGTAAAGTTTATGTTCAACCCCAAGGTAAGCTCTGCCAGAGGAGCCTGTTATTGTGCATCCCTGACTTTCCAATGTGAGCTACATTAATCAACTATGACATTCTTCCCCATTATTTGCTGTACTGTGGATTTGCTCTTGCCATTGGCCACAATAACATATACTTGTTTGCCACCGGTCGCATTGTTTAGAAAATAGCTATATAGAGTACTTCATATACAAAAGCCTCTTATTTGAATATTATGTACACATTAACATTAGACAACAAATGTTTGTCACAGCTGTGTCTTTTGTTTGTTTCCTAAGGCATACAGACTGCAGTTGCACAAAAATTCAGCTGGACAGAGTTCTTAAGATGCACAGGTATGCTCCTCTTACATTATGCTTGGGGAAGAATGGTGTATTGAAAGCTCACACCCGTGTCTGCAGATCTGGTTAGTACATACAAGAAATACATGCTTAGAATGTATTTCATCAAATATTATAAATGGTAAAACATTGAGTTATGCTCATTCTTGCTCCCAGGTTGCTATTTCCATCTTTGCGCTTCCCAGTTTTGTGTTCCTTTTTGTCCCATTAATCACTGACTGAATGCGCTGCAGAACTGGGCTTACAACATATTCATGGAATCCACCTGGAAACTACCATCCACAGAATACATTTATTCCACACATTATATTTCTCGATGTGAGGGTCAGGAAGGACGATGTTTGCAGCAGGGCTATGCATCTTGTGTTTTGCTTCTTCCCACAAATGTTCCCAAACACATTTGAATAACACTGACCACTTCTCCACTCGCCTTTCCAAAGGGTCCAGTTTCAAAACAGATAAAGCACAGTCACGCCCATCTCCATACAGTATTGCACATAGACATGGCCGCTGAGTTCAGGAGCAGCGTGTGATTAATAGTTCCTGTGTTCTGGGCCATTTGTCACTGTGCTCCTCGACCAGTCCTAGAATTACTAATTGGCCACAGTCGCACTTTATGCTGTGACAGTTCAGCACTGAAACTTTTAGGCTTCTTTTGAAATTAAGGTTTTACTTATATCTTGAATCACAATGAATTGTCTCTATGAAAAGTAGTTTTGGGAAGAATAGTTTTTATTTTTACACATAATACACAATATTATAGTACTGTAATAACTATATGTTATATTGATTGTACTACAATCAATGCCCCTAACACTTCTTTCATACATGTATAATGGAATGCAACGGTTTATGTTTTTGAACAAATAGCTTTTGATCCATCTTACACCAATTTAATTTCAAAAGATAGTTTAATTCATTTGTATTTTTTTGTTTAACAGAAAACAAGAACAATTTCACAGCATAGAATTAAGATGTTAAACTTTAGTCTAAACCCTTTTGGTTTGCATAACCCTATATAGATTTCAGATGCACCATATGAGCTGTATTCTCTATTCATAGATTTATATTTATGAATTGGAAAACTGTACCTAAAGTCAGCTTCTTATATGATATATGAAACAGAATAGAAATGAATCCACTGAGTGTGAGGAACATCATTTATTTGATTACAATCAGTTTCTCCGCCTGGCTTCAGCTGAGTAGAAGAATCTTTAGTTCATTTTTCTGGTCCATTGCATGGAAGTGCTAGTCAGTAAAAAGTTATATGTTCCATGTTCTCACCCCTCTATGCAAGCTATTCTTTCTTCCATTTGGTGTCACTTAAATGAATAATTGATAAACCTTATATTGTACACAGGCTAGCTTATTGAAGTTGTGTGAAGGCTCTGGCTGTGTGGTGGTCCTGTGTGGCCCGCTGCCGAGGTGGCACACCAAAGAACTCCCATCGGGGGAGATGAAAGAGGCAAAGGCACCCTCCTGGCTGACGGAGGATTCATGTCTCTGCTTTAGGTGTCATGTACCTTCTTCTGCAAAAACAAACCACAGCATTATATCTCCAGCCTGCTTGCCCACTGACTTTTAAGATGATGTTAAACATAGGAGAGGACATTTTGAACCAAGGGGTCATAAAGAAGCATTCATTTTGGAAACGTATTGTTAGCTATTCCCTTTTCACCATTTTTGTTTGAAAAGAATAGACTGCAGAACCTGCATTCGATGAGTGGTTCCAATATGTAAACCTCTGACCCATATGGTTCTGGAGAGATGGTTATAAAGGCTCTAGCCTGAGTTGGAATACAGGGACAAGAGGGGAGAACGACACAAACGCAAAACATATTAGAGCAATGTTGTAATGTATTTCTAGACACCAGGATGTCTTCTTTTTAGCAAATCTGTAGGTAATGGCACCACAGCTTGCACAGACATTTTCATTTTCACATAGAACCTTATTTGGAGGTTGTTCAGTTACCTTCAGTCTGCTCCTCAAAGGAAATGAAAATACTTGCAACGGGGGGTTCTTTCATTGCGTCTTGAGGTTTCTACATAAAAGTCAAATCTTTGGAGTAGGTGTTCATTGATTTTTTGATCTGGAATAACTCTGAAACGTTTGTTGATTTTGAAAGGCTTTGAAAGGCTAATGGTTTTTTTTGGCAAATTGTCAGCCAAAAGCTTCAGTTTGTGCCTTTAGTAATATGGCTCAGGAGTTTTTGTGGACTTGTTCCCTACTGAGCGCTCTACCTCTGATCAGAGCACACATTAGTCACCGCAGGCGTATTTCTCCATGACCTTGGGTGATGTATTGCTTTCATTATGTGCTGATGTACTTGGGATGTTCATTATGCAGTGTTTTTATATTGTAACACAATCTGTCTGCGTGTGCCTGGCTGTGCTCCAGATGTTAGTGCGGTACGTGCGGGTGAACTTCGAGTCTTCCTCTTGATCTGTGGTTTGAGAAAAGTCAAGGATCCTCTCTACGTGGCCCAGGTCTTCTCAGGTAATCGCAATTAACTGCACACTGTCAATGAGCATGGACGTCGATGGGAGCTGTATCAAAAGTGTGAGCCTCATTTGATTGGCGTGATAAATTAGGTTTCAAGAGATCAAAAGGAAAATGAATGAAAGTGTAAAATATGTAATTTGCTATTCGGATTTTTAATTCCCATAAAACCATATACATTTTTCATGCATATATCATGAAATACTAACTATATTCAGAATGATCCTTTTCTTCATTATTTGTAGTGTTAGCGGTTAATGTTTTGTTTTAAATTTTTATTCTTGTTTCAGAGTGGCATGGGCAGAATCCTCTGAATGTCCTAATTATCATCGGGCCAAAGGTCAGTTACAATTAATGTACTAATGTAATTTTTTATATCTTCTCAGCTGCATCATTATAGTTATGGCACACAGTTTTTGTTTTGTTCTTGTTTCTGTTCTTGTGGTTTGAGTGGCTGTTATCAAATATTACCACCTTGAATTATATTTTAGAAAAAAATTCAATTTATACAATAGATATGTTTTTCATATATTGGTACTTTAGTCGTACAAACTGACACTGTAAATGCTAAGTCTCACATTAGACTTATGCAAGACTTGATACTTACTTTATTCCTTCCTTTTCTCTTTCTTCCTGTATTTTTAATTTGAAACCAGTTTCAAATCAGTTTGAAAACAGTTTCTTTCTTTCAAACAGAGATTTCTAGGACAAAAGGTACGTTCCACCTTATTCCATTCAAACAGCCTTCAATTAGACATGCTTGGCTATTAGAGGCCTGCTACTCCTGCCCACTGCTTTGATCGTCCTTTGATGACATGTGAAGGCAGAAACAGGATGCACAGGGAATATTCATATTTGTACATATACTGTCATAATCAAAATCCAATTCAATATTAGTCTAAAAAATTCATTATTGTTTCCCTTTTATATTTTAACAAAGTACTTCATCATAACTTAATTGATCTGTAGATGTTGTTGTTGTTGCACTGAGAGCTGTGGGACACTGCAAGTGTAGCTGTGTGTTGGGCTGTGATATATGTCAGTCTTTATTTATGGATTATCTTTTTAATTAATTTAGTTTAATGTTCAAAATAAAATTAATTGGACTAGAATATTTGGCTATAGCAACTTTCAGGTGAAGCAAGGCAGGGATTACATCCATATTTTTCATCATCAACATCTAATATGTACTAATACTAATATTACACCAGTATGATATATACAGTACTAACAACACATGTACTGTATGTACCGGGCGGCAACATGGCACAGTGGTTATGCTTCACCACAAGAAGGTCCTGGGTTCAATTCCAGCTTTCTGTGTGGAGTTTGCATGTTATCTCCCTGTCTGCATAGGTTTCCCCCACCACTAAAAACATGTACAATGAGTCCAGATAATTGGCCACAACAATTGTAAAGCGCTTTGTGACTCTGTTCTGTGAAAAAAAACTACATAAATAAAGATGACTTATTTACTAAGAGACACCATTTTATATACTCAAAGATAGCAGCAACTACACACAAAATTTAAAAAGATAATCTAAACTTGTCATATAACGATTTGAAGAAAATGCGTCTCAAGCATCTTCATTTTTACTTGTATTTGCGTAAAATACAAATATCCCCTTTGTTTTGTAAATTAATTAAGAGAATAATCACTAGATATAGAATAACATTGGCAGCTGATACAGTGGTGGTGCAGTGTTGTCTTTTGTTCTGTTCATTCCCATAATCACAGCTGTATCTTCACAACATCTGTCGTTAAAGGGGAAATTCAGGCCAGTTTGCTAAGGATGACTCATCGTCTTCCTTTTCTTGCATAAGACATGTATCTGCATCATTCTGCGTTAATCTATTTTAACAGTCCCACAGTGTATTAATAGTAAGCCTTAAGTCTGTTTTCAGGGCACAAAATCCATCAAAGTTTGTGCAGATGTGACACAACTGTTCACAATAATAATTATTGTGCTTCCCTATGTTGGTGGTAATCTCTTTGCTGGATTGGGCAGCACCATTCATAATCTCTGCTTAAATCATTTGCATTTATTAATACCTCCCCGACATCTAAGATCCTCCCTTGTTTTGCTAAATCTCATATTACAGATATAAATATTTAACCGTTTGGATACCATACACGTGACACAAAGCTGATTTATTACATTTCAATGTGCGATAAAATGACATAGGAACTATAGCAGCTTGTTTTCCTGCGTCTTTGACCTAAATTGCTATGCTTTGACTTTCTGTGGGCAGGCTAATGCATACAAATCCCACATTGCAATTAATGGGATTGGCCACGCACCCCACCCTGACCCCAATCTCTGAAAATAGGGGATTTGCACAAAATGATGCTCATGATAAAAATGTAATTGTTTTTATTTGTTTTCAATTTTCTCTGTTGTGTCACTGTTGGTTCAGTTGATAAATACACACCTAATTCTGTATCTTGTCTTCCATAGATTGATCCTGTTTTTAGCATTGAAGTTGAGTCCGCAATTGAAAAGTAAGCATTATTAGATGTCACAATAGTTATGATTTTTTTAGTCCTAATACTACTATTGATAAACAGTTGATCTTAGATTTAAAACTTTTTTTTTTTATCATGGAGGTTTAATTAAATTTAATTAAATATCAAAGGAAAAGAGAAAGTCTCTAAATTCTAAAAACCTGAAGTACTTAATTCATTCTCTCACTATCAAGCTAATTCTTCTGACTTTGACCACAAGCTCTGACCACAGCTCAGACCTCTGAGGCTGTGTCTTTACCTGAGCCAGCCATGCATGTGCCATTCAGTCACACAGTTTCAGATGCTACGATTGTCACGGCTGCTAACCATCATTCACGCTTACATGAGCCCTGAGCCACATACGAGCTTCCTCTGTCCACAGAACAGCAGGAGTATACATGACCCAGGAGAGGAGCCAGCGGGAGCTGCACGCTGCCATGAAGAAGTGTTTTGCTGTGGTTAACAGCTCGGTCTCAGAGGGCATGTCTGCGGCCATCTTAGAGGTAAACATGTCTTGGTCACATTAGGTACAATCTCTATTTCTCAGCCGTTTCAGAAATTGATGAAAATAAATGATGGACTCACAAAGCAAAACCCTTTTTCAATCATGTGGATATTAAAACATTCACCTCGTGTTTTTTTTTTTTTTGCAAAGACAATAATTCAACTCAAGTCCTTGAGCCCTGAAGTACTTCATTCATTTGATTTGGGAAATACAATGGAATTTATAATTTATGCATTAACACCTTTGCCTCACAACAAGAAGACCCTGAATTTGCACTTTTTTAGTATTTCCTTATGGAGTTTTAATTGTATTCCTGTGTCAGCCTTTGTACGACTAAAACATGCAAAAAGGCTCCTGCCCTGTGGGAATGGGAAGTTCTCTTGAAATCTCAGCAGGACTACCTGAATAAATAAAGGTCAAGACAGGCATATGATATGGATGGAACTATATCATTTTTTGCATATTGGAACAAATATGAATGAATGAGTATGATTTTGGCGCCTAGATTGTGGTAGAAATATTGCATGCATAGTGTATGCAAAAGGGAATTGAATGAAGATCATGAGAGTTCAATCCACCTGGGTCTAAACCAGTGGGGGCGGGTCCCGGCTCAATACCACCCCGGGCCGATGGGGGTGGACCCGGAATAAGAATTAGCCAATGCTAACATATAGCATCTTCTTACCTCTCAAACATCTTTACAGGATGGTCCAAAAGTTGGCTCTTGGCCCAAAGCTCCGTTCCACATGTGTGTCAATGCTGAGGGGAGTGAGTTTTTTTTGGACCAGTCTAGTTTAGTCGCTGTGAATTTTTGAAGGCACTCGTTAAATGAATGGGGCTCGTGCCGGCTGACGCATGCGCATATGCGTTTTTTCACATTTTCCAGCCCCCGCAGCCATTTTGAAACTGCCCATAGACCGCGGAAGTTGTGGCACATTAGTTAGAACGGTGGAGATAGGTGTGACTATGTCCGTTAATATTTACAGTCTATGGTTTAAACCCTGGTGATGGTGAAAAGGAGCTGATGATATGAAGAGTGATTCTTCCACTGATGAGGTGCTGATGGGGAGGAGGTGGGTTACTGCTCAGCAGTGAGGGTTGAAGCTGATTAGCACAGAAGCGGTTGTGTAGTACCTTATTATCAGCTCCATAACTAACGATTATTATGATAATTGATTAGTGTAGCAATTATCATTTTGATATAACAATAGGTTGTAAGAATATCTGCGTTTTTTCATAATTCAATGCAGAAAAAGCTGAAGTGAAGATACCAGAGAATATCTTTAAATCACTTATTTTTACTTGTTTTTTGGAAATGGGTTTCAGACTGTTTTATTATTCCAATGACGCAATTATTATTCTGAATTTATTGTAATTGTAATCATTATTATTCCTAAAATCTTGATTATTTTATCATGTAACTGCTGCTAAAATCTTAAATCACATATTTCACACTATGTGTCAAAGTCGGTATTTAGAGCGGTTAATGGTTAATCTATCTAAAATAGTTTAGGAAGTTATTTGTCTCGTCTCTACCAGATGATTGTAAGATATCGATGTCATTACCTTGTTACCCTAATGAATGTATAGGGAACCATGTGTATCCGCTGTCACTTTACTACTTACTTAGCCCATACCTTCATACTGCTAACATGTACAGTAGTATCACATACTGCTAACATGTACAGATGTATCACCTGCTGCTAACATGTACAGTAGTATCACATGCTGCTAACATGTACAGTAGTATCACATGCTGCTAACATGTACAGTAGTATCACATACTGCTAACATGTACAGATGTATCACATGCTGCTAACATGTACAGTAGTATCACATGCTGCTAACATGTACAGTAGTATCACATGCTGCTAACATGTACAGTAGTATCACATGCTGCTAACATGTACAGATGTATCAAAAACTGCTAACATGTACAGATGTATCACATGCTGCTAACATGAACAGAAGTATCACATACTGCTAACATGTACAGTAGTATCACATACTGCTAACATGTACAGATGTATCACATGCTGCTAACATGTACAGTAGTATCACATGCTGCTAACATGTACAGTAGTATCACATGCTGCTAACATGTACAGTAGTATCACATGCTGCTAACATGTACAGTAGTATCACATGCTGCTAACATGTACAGTAGTATCACATACTGCTAACATGTACAGATGTATCACATGCTGCTAACATGTACAGTAGTATCACATGCTGCTAACATGTACAGTAGTATCACATGCTGCTAACATGTACAGTAGTATCACATGCTGCTAACATGTACAGATGTATCAAAAACTGCTAACATGTACAGATGTATCACATGCTGCTAACATGAACAGAAGTATCACATACTGCTAACATGTACAGTAGTATCACATGCTGCTAACATGTACAGTAGTATCACATGCTGCTAACATGTACAGTAGTATCACATGCTGCTAACATGTACAGTAGTATCACATGCTGCTAACATGTACAGTAGTATCACATGCTGCTAACATGTAGAGTAGTATCACATGCTGCTAACATGTACAGATGTATCACATACTGCTAACATGTACAGATGTATCACATGCTGCTAACATGTACATTAGTATCACATGCTGTTAACATGTACAGTAGTATCACATGCTGCTAACATGTACAGTAGTATCACATGCTGCTAACATGTACAGCAGCATCATATGCTGCTAACATGTACAGTAGTATCACATGCTGCTAACATGTACAGTAGTATCACATGCTGCTAACATGTACAGTAGTATCACATGCTGCTAACATGTACAGTAGTATCACATGCTGCTAACATGTAGAGTAGTATCACATGCTGCTAACATGTAGAGTAGTATCACATGCTGCTAACATGTAGAGTAGTATCACATGCTGCTAACATGTACAGTAGTATCACATACTGCTAACATGTACATTAGTATCACATGCTGTTAACATGTACATTATTATCACATGCTGCTAACATGTACAGTAGTATCACATGCTGCTAACATGTACAGTAGTATCACATGCTGCTAACATGTACATTAGTATCACATGCTGTTAACATGTACAGTAGTATCACATGCTGCTAACATGTACAGTAGTATCACATGCTGTTAACATGTACAGTAGTATCACATGCTGTTAACACGTAGAGTAGTATCACATGCTGCTAACATGTAGAGTAGTATCACATGCTGCTAACATGTAGAGTAGTATCACATGCTGCTAACATGTAGAGTAGTATCACATGCTGCTAACATGTACAGTAGTATCACATGCTGTTAACATGTACAGTAGTATCACATGCTGTTAACATGTACAGTAGTATCACATGCTGCTAACATGTACAGTAGTATCACATGCTGCTAACATGTACATTAGTATCACATGCTGCTAACATGTACAGTAGTATCACATGCTGTTAACATGTACAGTAGTATCACATGCTGCTAACATGTACAGTAGTATCACATGCTGCTAACATGTACAGTAGTATCACATGCTGTTAACATGTACATTAGTATCACATGCTGTTAACATGTACAGTAGTATCACATGCTGCTAACATGTACAGTAGTATCACATGCTGTTAACATGTACAGTAGTATCACATGCTGCTAACATGTACAGTAGTATCACATGCTGCTATCATCTACGATAGTATCACATGCTGTTAACATGTACAGTAGTATCACATGCTGCTAACATGTACAGTAGTATCACATGCTGCTAACATGTACAGTAGTATCACATGCTGCTAACATGTAGAGTAGTATCACATGCTGCTAACATGTAGAGTAGTATCACATGCTGCTAACATGTACAGATGTATCACATGCTGTTAACATGTACAGTAGTATCACATGCTGCTAACATGTACAGTAGTATCACATGCTGCTAACATGTACAGTAGTATCACATGCTGCTAACATGTACAGTAGTATCACATGCTGCTAACATGTACAGTAGTATCACATGCTGCTAACATGTACAGTAGTATCACATGCTGCTAACATGTACAGTAGTTTCATCACTGAATATAGGAGCCATCAGAGCTAATGACCCACTACCTTAATATTCTTGCACTAGAGTGTACTACAGATTTATCTACTGACGTGTATATATACATGTACATATTTTTTGCACTAGAGTGTATGGTATTATTTCATATACTTATGCTTTTATACGTTATGCTTCTTTATTAAGCTAAAGATGGCGATTTTATTTTATTTTTCAAGTATAGAGTTGTGCTATTCTTAATATTCCCTTATTTTATTGAGTGGTCTTCATTCCTACTGTTCTGTAACTTGTGATGCAAAACTGAATTTTGCCCAATGTGGGACGAATAAAGGATCTCCTAAACATGTCAAGGTAATACAGTAAAATCGCTTTCATATAATTGCTTGTAATAGAACAATCACATAACTGCAATATTGATAAAATAGTTGACAATTAATTAAATGACTTTAAATAACTTACTCAAGCACTACAGCATTTTCCATATGGCATATAACAATTGAATGTGTGTATGTACACTAATGATTTTTTATTAAGACAAAAATGTGTGTATTTAAATATGCGGCTTTGCGCACCTCTGTATTTTCTTTTTAGGGACAGTAAAACTTATATTACTTAAAAAATGTGTATATTTTTGTATATGTCTGCTCCACCAGGCTATGCACCTAGGAGTACCTGTGGTGGCTCGAGACATACCTGGAAATGCGGCGATAGTGAAGCATGGGATCACTGGACTGCTCTACTCATCTCCTCAGGTATACTGCACTGATCTGGTCACGGGTGATAAGCTCTCCTTTAAGCTCTGACACACAAATGTCACACAACAACCTCTCACCTCCGCTGACCATTAGCAAGTAGCCTCTCAGATAGTTGTCAGCTTTCTGGGGTCGGTAATAGATTTCTACTGTAAATACAGAGGTCATTGTTTGATCACAAGATTTACACTTTGTTGCAAGCTTAGAGACTTTTTGATGTTGACCCTTTCCCAAACCAGTCACGAGACTTCTTAATGGCATGCTAACAAAATTGGTAATATTCCAAGAGGCAGCTTGTTGTCTCAGGCAGGTAGTACTCAAAATCAGTAAGAGAAAACACTTGATAGTTGAAGAGTGAAGTTTATGTCAGTGCATTGCTCATAAATTGTCAACACTCTCCAGACAAAATCACTTATGTCAAGGGGACTTCAGACTATTGGATCAGAGATACTCTGCATACTGTAAGCAACATGTTCATATTTGTTTTCACATATTAGAATTATAGTAATTACTACTTAACTACAGTTAACCAAACACATTATCATTTCATATTGGACTAACGTAATAGTAAAATCTAGGTTGCCTCCTCCCTGAGTGGGGAGGCACCGTCTGAACCGAGCTGTCAGTTGGTGTAGTCTTCTCTGTGTGGTGGCAGCTATTACGAGACTATAAAGGCAATTAGACAGCCAAATTTGGGTTTTGAGCCACTATTTCTCAGTCCCTTGGCAAAGTACACACATATTTGAAGTATTTTCTAATCACCGTAACGGCTTTTATCTGAATTCAGTTTTTGCACATTTGAATATCTTTTGTGCTTTTAAGTTATATCTTAAGGCAACTTCAATGGTAATTTTCTAGTGGCATTTGGCAGCAACTGTGACTGTTTTGTGCATCTGCCAGGATTTTGTGGATCAATCTCAGAGGCTGTTGTCGGATCATGAGCTGAGAGAGAGACTGGTGAGGAACGGAAAAGTCTACGTGGAAGAGCACCACAGCCTGAAACAGGAGCAGGAGACCTACCAGAGATTAGTGGCTACTTTACACTGAGTCTGCTTTACTGTCCACAATTGGTTATACCCGTGTATTCAGGACGATTATTTAAGAAATGTTCTATTTTTATTTACGCTTTATTTATTCATCCCCAAATGTCAGAAGATAATGTATTTTCTGAAATGCTGACAATCTATGCTTTTAGTAATTCTATGCATGAGATTTTAAGAGTGTGGTGGTGCATGTAAATTATTTGAGTTTATCTCATGCAATATTATAGTTTACAATATAGCACTTTTTAAGTAAGTAAGTAAGTAATCGTTATTTATATACCACCTTTCACAGACCATAGGCACAAAGCGGTTTACAATTGTTATTTTTTGGGCATTTTACTGTATTGAATATAAAAAAATCTAAACTGCTGGGGACATAAAGGTACTGGTGCTTGTTGAGGACATAAGGCTAATCATTGTTTCAAGCTGGGTGGTTGTAATAGTAACACAGTGGAACATACACTTTAATGCTTTTCTCTGATGTAAAAAATTGTGTAATGTTTAGTTTATAAAGTGCCTTTTAATTGACAATGAACATAACAGAGCAAATGCGGAAAATATACATTTGAGTTTTATGATAAAAAAATATGTGCAACATAAAGTAATAAATACATTTTTGACAATTAAATTACAAAATATTAAACATTTTTCCATGATTCAAAGCCACTTGAATTGGTTTGTATTGTAATGCGGGTTGTAAAAGTTTATATTTGCATGCAGTAATTGTATTTTTGTGGCTTTGTTTGATCATACTTTCCACACAACAACTATTAACAATGATTTACAGAGCATGTAAAAGATCTGTATGAAATGTGGAGGTCATTCCAATAGGACAATGGAATGACAGTTTTGGATCCAACAAAGGCATTGAGGTGATCAAAGCCTGTAAATGTACATGAAGTCTGATCATGTCTTGTATTATAAATGGTCTCCCAGCTCTGTGCTAGGCACTTGGGGCTCTTCTTGAAAGCTGTCCTCCTTCCCGACCCACTGGATGCCTTCTCCACTCTGCTGCGCTGGTACGTGCGGGTGTGGCCGCTCCAGTGTGGAGAAGGTGGTGAACTGGACTCTCTTCCTCTTACTGGTTGGAGAATGGAGTGACTCAGCTTGCATAGGTTTGGCCGGAACGGAACCCGCACAGCCAGTGGGAGAGTCTGTGACAGAGGCCAAGCAGCTAGGCCCTCGAGACAAAGTGCTGGTCTTCTCTGGCACAATGTCTATGACTGTGGTGGTCTGCGTATCCTGCTGAACCGGGCTGCCCGGGACACTCATCACCAGCTCAGCATCTGTGCCTAACCACACCCAGTCATGTCTATGGCCTGTGGGTTCTATGTTGTGAGAGGAAGGCTTCTTGTGTCTGAACTTAACAACGTAAGAGATGCAGTTTACCAAAAACACTAAAATGGCCAAGCAAAAAACTCCCAGCAGAGCATACATACCTATCTCTAAGTCAGTGAGAGGCCGGTTGGCCATTAATTCCTCTCCACCAATTTCAACCTCCACCCTATCTAGTCCAGGTACCTCCACTTTAGGGAAGTTATTGTAGTTTACCAGATTACCTGGAAGTTTCACTGTGCTGGTTAAACTCACACTGCCCATATCCTCAGCAATCATGTTGCCTGTATCACTGGGACTGTTCATCATACTCATATTCACCATACTAGTTGGACTGTCAAAGATTCGCGTATTGCTGGTCTTTCCTACTCCCCCAAGAGTCCCACTTGTTATATAAGTGCGCTCTGTTGACTTGACAAAAGTTGTGGTTTTCTGAACTGTACGATCTCGCCGAAATATTGGGTCTCTGGACGATTTCCATCTCCCATCAGTCTCCACAACATCACTTCCATAGTCATTCCTTATGCCTCCTCTGCTGTCTGCACTGGAGTTATCTGGACGACGATTGTTGACTGTGAACTTGACCTTAAGGCTGCCACTTCCCACTGCTACAGTACTTTTGCGTTTTGATTTCTGACACACTTCACAAATCGACATCTCCACTCGAACCAGGACTCCCTCGCCCTCTCCTTCAGCAACCACTTCTGGAGCGCTCCCCGGCACAGAAACTACCCCTTCATCCAACGAAGTCACTGTCATCCGGTAGAAGGCTGGATCATAAATATCAAGGGGTGTCTGGTTGCCATCGCTGAATTGTATCCAAGCACTGACCAAAGCTTTCTGAAGTAAAAGGAAGAAATTGTTTTAAAATATTAAAAACATATACGGGGGATAAGAAACATACCTCTTTGGGAGTCTGGAGAGTTTCCTGCGTGGTGGTGGTGGCTAAAATAGCTCTGTTGCTGCCAGGGCTTAACTGTAAGTTCATGGAGAGGCCAGAAACCAACTGAACTCCCAACTCTGTGATGGTCACTTTGTCATCCACCACTCTAAATGTTGTCTTAGCTAAAATTGTATCAGACAATGGGGAGAAAACCTGTAATGCAACAATTGTATTAAGTTAACACCAACGACATGACCTTAAAAAACTTTCAGCCATTATTACTTGAATTGCAGTTGTCCCCAGATCACGCCCTGATAGCACCCGTCCTGCCTGTAGTCGGGCCACTCTTGTGTCCTCCACCTTCATGAAATATCTGACCAGCCGTGTCACATCCACCTGCCAATCCGAACCCAGGAAGAAGGCCTTGGGCTCTCGGGGATCCTCTTGCTCAGCCATGAAGTGTGTGAGCACCCGGACCAGAGCATGTTGGAACTGCAGCATACATCCCTTCCCCTTCCTGTCCTCCTCACTTTTCCAGTTGGATCTGATTGAGACACACTGATCAGTTAGCGAATACTTACAAATGGTAATATTATAGTATGGCTTCAGAGAAAAACATGTGTGTAGTGTTTTACTGCTGACATTGAAAATATGTCTGAAAAAACTCAAAATAAGAGGTGCTGTAGGTGTCATGTAAGTTCTATACAAAGTAGAATGACAGTGATTGTATTACTCTGCTGAGAATAACCCTATGACATTTACCTTTTAGATGTTAAAATTGGAACTCTCCAGCTCTTAATCTGACTTAGTTCTGTATCGGACACTTCGATCTGCAGAGGGAGGCGGGGCATCCAAACATTTAACTCCAGTTGTGCGCTGAGGTAGCTGTAAGTGAAGTTTACCAGTATCTTCACTTTCCCTTTAGTCTCCTTTCCATTCACAAAGACGTAATCACACCGATCAGACACCTGAACAAATGATAAATAAATAATATTTGCAATTAATTTGCATGGATTAATCAATAAATTAAGATCATGTCATTTTTTATCGATTACACCATTACGAATAATAATTGCTATGTAGCCCTTTAGCTCCACAATTGTTGCCATAGCAATGTCAGCTAGCAGTAATAAACAACTGTGATGATTACCAGTCCGATGCTTTAGGAAGAGACGCAATTGCAATTTTATGTTAATCAAAATATGTGGAGCAGTGTTGAACATCAGTCCTTCACAGCCAAGCGCATTCATTATGCTGGATTTCAAAGATGACCTTGGTAAATTCAGTGGCAAAGATTTCATGGATATTCTGTGTCCCTGGTAGGCATCAGCCTGGAGCTTTGCCTTGGTCCCATCCCATTTGGAACAAATTAAACAATTACTGCCGTACTGAAATTCACTATGGGAGAATGATGGGGAAATGTGACTTTGACATATTGCCGGAGGAGGAATACAAATGGCAAACCTATTCAGACGAACTCAACTCTGAGCTTAGGATTTGTAATGTCATGGAGATATTTTTGAGAGAATGAGTCATTGTAAGCATCTGAGTCAGCTGTCATGTCTCGTGCCCAAAAGTGGAGCCTTTGACCACACACTGTCATCTTCCTCACGCAGCAGTGTCCCACCTTTGTGATCCAACTTTATTTACAAAATAAATCCAACATTTTCATATGAAAAAGACATGTAAGATTATTATTTTCACCTGGTTTAGGTCAGTTATTTTTACAGAAAGGATTTCAGTAGCATTTTTTACAATGGATGCCCATCCTGACATTGTTTTTCCGGCTTTGAACAGGTACAAAGACAATACTTCCTGATGTCTGTTCTGACTAGATATTAACTTGGAAAATTGTGCAATCTTTGAGAAAATTACTTCCTCTCACAAAAAAAAAGATATCAGAAACCGTGCTGTTCAGCTGTAAGAATATTAAGGAGAATATTTGTGACTGAAGCTGTTATCTGATCAACAAAGCATTCAAAGCTAGTGAGCTTAAAACAACAGCAAAGATGGCTACACATTACAGCTTGAAAAGAATCAAAACATAATCCCAGCTTTTCCTTAAAATCACCACCCACTTTGTGCATTGTATATGTGAATCAAGCCTTTTCTGAACATCTGCTCTGTGCTCTCGTCCGCTTTGGGACACTTCCTTCTTTGTTTACAATACTATTTTCCCCATGGAGTAAAACATTTCACAGCCTTTGACCTCAAGCATTGGGACCTGATTTTCTATTTCATCAGTAAACAAAGCTTGTTTTTGCCTGTTCGCACTGCCAGGTTGACTGTGTCAGAGATAGGAGCACACTACAATGATCAAAGGCTTTAGAAGGAAGAGATTCATTTAGCTCTGTGGCTGTTCATTGTTGACTGTTGATGATGATTACGGCAGACAACAACTAATAGCTTATTTTGTAGACAATGGAGCTGCAGAGTGAGCTTGGGTTTATGGAAATAAAATTATTCATTCAAAAACCCTTGTATGACTTTTGAAAAATTGAAATATGAGTTTGAGGATGACATAGGCTAACTTGTTAGCTTCCTAGCTCCATGTAATTATTATCCACAGCACGTACATGCTTTGCTTTAAGTTACAGGGTTTAAGTTAGATTAAACATGCAATACTGTATTTATTAATGGCATTGCTCAACAGATAGCTGAAAAACCTCTTATGTATTTTTTTAATAATTAATGGGGAATTTGACTTTCTTTGCATGTCAAGGATATGCAAATTAACTTTAAAACAACATATTTGTCCAATGAAAGCCATCTTGATTCCTATTTTGTGGTATAAATAGGTTGTCCTGACTTGGTTTGTAACTGGGTGTTTTCAGTATTTTGTGATGGAAGCTTTTTGGGGAAAATAGTACAGCCAGCAGTACAACATACAAAACAACCAGTCGAGCAGAATGATGTAATTTTGTAATGGGTATAATTTCAAACACTCTGGCGTTCTGAAATGCACAGCCCACAAAGAGGAAAGTGCATTTTATGAAAAGATCAGTATAGTTATTTGGAGAGTCTAAAAATGTATTCATTTTATGTTGGTGATTTCTCAAGTTGTAAAAGCACTAATCTTATAAGATGAATGAATGAGATCAATGAGTCTCCTTTCTTTTCATGACTATGGACTGTAGATTTACACTCAGGCTGTGTAAGGGTTATTTGACCAATAAGGAGAGTGGTGGGTGCTGGGCCAGATGACCCGGCCTAGGCTCCACAGCCACCGGACCTGAACCCAATCCAGATGGTTTTGGGGTGAGTGAAGGCAAAAGGGCCAACAAGTGCTAAGCATCTCTGGAAACTCCTTTGAGACTGTTGGAAGACCATTTCAGGTCACTACCTCTTGAAGCTCATCAAGAAAATGCCAAGAGTGTGCGAAGCAGTAATAAGGCAAAAGGTGCTACTTTGAAGAACCCAGAAGACATATTTTCAGTTGTTTCATACTTTTTTTAGTACGTACATAATTCCACATGAGTTAATTCATAGTTTATAGAATTGTGAATCTACAATTTTCATAATTATGAAAATAAAGAATACTCTTTGAATGAGGTGTGTATAAACCTTTGGTCTGTACTGTATATGAAAAACCTGGTTTGAGGTGCTTTCACTGGTCAACACGAACATTGAGAACTAGAGAAGTGATGGACCTTTAGCACGTCCTCGTCGTTGGAGCTGCATTCGGTGTAGTCGGACACATCTGTCACTAAACCGTCTTCCTCCACAGCTACTGTCCTCACGGGCATCACCACCTTTTTACCTGTGAGCACCGCAGTGTTCAGGATCTCAGAGTCCTGCAAAGAAAACACATACAAGATTTTAAGTGTTATGCTTTTTCAATATCTAGTTAAACAGAATGAATAAGTGATTCATGGATAGGAGAAATTCAGGTGTCAGCAAACAAAAAAAACAATAAGATCATTCTAAAAAGCTAACAACAGTAATAATCAGCAACAGCCATTCAGGTCACAGCAGAAGAGGTGGAGTAGCCTCTGGACGGAGCAGGACGGGTCACAGCAAAACTAAAATACTAAATACTTCATTAGCATTTTTCAAAAAGTTAGCTATCCTCCAATGGATTTTCACCTGATCCACTTGGTTTGGACCATGAATCTTCTCTGCTCTGGTCTGGACCAGTGTAAAACCATGAACAATGTACTGCAGCAATATCTCAAGTAAAAAAGCAAGAAAAAACAAAACAACAACAATTTCAGAGCTACTTAGGACTTGCTGCCCTTTTCCAGCGCATTCAGTAAACAGGTACATAGACCTCAATTATATGATTTTTAGAAGTTAGAAAAAATATATAAGTAGCACCAATCATCAGATATAGCATCTGTATACTGTCCACAAATATGAGAAATGTATAGTAATGATGGAGCAAAGGTGCCAATGATGATATAGCAAAGGTTCAGCCTGGAAAATTGGCGTGTCTCCCGCGTTCACCATCTTCCCACATCTACACCTTTCAGCTTGCCTCAACAGTGCTTGCACCACAACCGTGTTCAAGATAATCACTTTTTTCAAATTTTAATCACATTTTTGCGACGTGCATGTTATTCCTACTTCACTCAAATCGGGCACACAACAAGGTACTCACTGCCTGTCATTGTGATTTGGATAGAGAAAAGACGCATGCAGAAGCGTGACTCAGAAGTGATGACTAAGGTGCCCCCCACTTAATGAAGGCCAGAGGAGCTGCCTCATGACCAGGTTTGAACAGGGGTAAATAAACTCCTGTTTGACCTTTTTGCATGTTGACTACTTATGCAGACTAGAATGAGAATGAATTGATGGATAGATATGAATTTGTAGAAAAATACACAGTAATTCCTTTATCGTTTTAGAGCTGTCATAAAACGGAAACAAACATGGCAACAAAGCAGAGAGTAAATAGGGGCCTGAGCCTTTTGGAACAAGCAGCATTTCAGTAAACATTTATAGCCCAGCTTATTGCTCCGTAATGCATTAGCAATGCGGAAGGCTTGACACTAAATACACGGCTACAATATATCCAGTTCATTCCTATATTACCTAACCTGATTATTTACATATGCCCAAGTATAATATTTGCTTAGATTACACCCTGCAGAGATAGGTGTTAACGTAAAAACTGACAAAAAACTCTTATCCAATGTACAGTTGTTTAAATGCATGAAAAATCAAAAGGCATAAGTGAAGCAGATGGATCCATGTACCCACCATGTAAAACACACTTTTTTAAGTGAAGCTGAGCTAACTGAATAATGTAGTTGAATCATAATGAGAGCAGTGGAGCAGAGCCCTGTCAAGTCCTGTGGCTCATCATTTAAATCAAATGTAAAAGGACATTTGGCCCAAGTCAGAGATCCAAAAATGAAGCAGATGGATTTGGCCCTCTTTAGAAGTGCTTCAAATGAGGCTTAAGTAAGTGAGCATACTTTTAAAAACTGTCATTACAGCATAGTTAATCTAGAAGAATATAAGGACGTGTCAGTGGTCGTTACAGAGAACTATTGAGTGGCCGAAGCAGCAGTGGTCAGGGGAGGTCAGCGAGGGGAGCGCACAGTGATCAGTCAGTGATAATGTTCTGGTGTTTGGCCCTCAGCCTGAGGTCAGATCCACCAAGAGGGATGGAGCATCACGTCCTCAAATCAGGATAACAGCCACTGCTGCTCTAGATCAGGTCACGAGGATCATAAGGATGTTGTGGAGTCTGTGTTCGAGTTACTATTCTGATTATGGGTAACAAGAATATGAGTATTATTTTCTTTAAGTTTACGAACGATGAACATTTCAGTGGGTACATTTTCTACTGATGCTCTTCAGGATCAGCATGTGAAAACACACTCTGTTTTTTGTATGACTTACATGTAGTTTTAGAATAATTCTGACATTACTTAAGGACATTATTATTATATGACTTCATATGTTTTCAATGAATTATTGAAATTGAACAACAAATCCCATAGACGGAAAAAAATCCTTGTGGCAGTTTGGAAGCACAAAAAAGCAATGACCGCAGATTGCACGCAAGGAAAAACAAAGAACAACATGGAAATCAAAAGTGACAATGCTCACACATTGCCTACTCAAAACATAAATGTATTTGCACAATCCAGGCCACCCGCTCAAATTGGGTGCTTTTGTTGGTTTCAGTTTTGTCTAAAAATCAAATATGACTCACCATTACAAGAGGGGCCAGGCCGACAAAGTCTCTCTGGGTGGTGTAGATGCGCATAGCTCCCTCGGTTTTGGCGGCGTTTTGGAATTGGGTCGGCAGCTCGAGCTTCCACACGATCACCTGGCTGTCGAGGGGACTGCTCAGCTCCTCCACCTCAAAGTCCATCTGAAGCACCTCCAGCAGGCTGCTTTCAAGTCTGCATCACAAAACACAGGAAACTTGGCTTAGGAGCCGCACTGTACAGCATGTGCCTTCTCAGAACAGATTGTTTTTATTTATTTTTCTACTGTGGAGTTTTTTTATTTAGGCAAACTAAAGAGGTTAGAGTATTTCCACAAATATTGACTGTGAGAAAGGATGGACTATGGGTTTCACATAAAATCTGAAAATGTGTGTATTAAAATTGCACTTTTTGTGTTAGATTGTATCAACCAGGGGTGAAACCCCTGGTTGATACAATGAACCGTGAAACCATTTTATGAAAGCGTGAAACCATTTTAGAGGTCCTTGAATAATTATCATTATTAACTTGCAAGCTCCTTACCCCCTCCCTCCCTTTCCTGCTTCAGAGGATGTGGCTTCTCCCGCTCCTTGTTCCCAGTTGGCCTTGTACACATGTATTTTGTCATTCATCAGGACAGTACTTAAGCCTGAGTTACCAGTAGCTCACCAACCTCTTTACAGTAGCTTACAGTACAGCAGAGAATAATTGTGTGAGTAAATATAAGAATGCTGTCTTTTGAACTAATAAATTATGATGGATTGTTTTATAGGTACAAAACACAACAAAAAATGGCAGAAAAAAATACAACGTTACCAAACTTTGAACCGACTAGAATGAATACATAAACAACAAAGTATCCTTTAATAGACAATTCAAGTCATCTCTACTCTTAAATCGTTCTATAATACTTTCTATTTGGAGGGGATTGGTTAAATATAATCTTTTTGCTTTGTCCAATCCAATCATGAGTTAACTTTGACTTTAATGCAATTAATCACGATTGAATATGTAGATTGTTTGACATCACAGCAATTGTTATTGTATTTAACAAATATTGACCAGTGTTTTATTTATTCAAAAGTTGTAGTTTGAAAAAGTTTGAAAAATAAAAGCTGGTATCGGTATCTGCAAGTACCTAATATAAAGGACTTATAATTCACTGGTATAGATAGAGTAGACCATCATATTCTTATTTCTAATCTTATTTCAAATGCAATAGGCAATAACCCACTGTCCCTATGTTGCATAACATTCTGTATTATCTGATCTCTGCGGTTTGGTTGTGTTATCCCGACTGTACGTGTTATTTTTCATGATCACACTGAGAGTTTTAGCTTTGAATACAACGTGGCAGTATCTGAACCTACACCTTGACCTTTTCTTTTGACCAACTCATGATGTATTCATACAATTTCTCTCAAAGGCAGAGAGCGGTGGGTGTGATGTTGTGGGTAAAACAAATGCACCGGTTAGACGTGAAAAGAATACACAGCTTTCCTCACCTTTGTAACGTACAATGGCCTTTTTCGAAGCAAGAACTGAATGTCCCACTACAGTTTAGATACAATTTTCTACCATCTACCATTTATTTTAGAATCCTAACTTTTATTGATGATGAAGATGAAGAGTATGGCCAAAACACAATAACCCCGCATATGGCCACTCTGCCTTATTAGCTCTGTGCCATCAGCGTACAAAACTATCTGTCACCGAATAGAGAAAAAGGTTGTTTATTGAATGAAAATGACCCTTACATCCTCCTTACACATACCAACTTTCAATCCACAAAAAAACCGTCGAACTAGATTCTTACTCTCAAAACAGGTTCTGCCATGTTTGTCTCTAACATAAACTAAAGAACGGACGCAACTCCAGTAAACTACCAGAATACTCATTTTCAGTCATCGAATTTACTTTAGATAAAATAGTTCTCCTTATATTGTTATTTCATGGTATCACATATGAAATTGCATTGCTGTTGATTATCACTTCTATCACTAGATTTCAAATGTATGTATCTTTAGATCATCTTTTTCAACCAATCACTCTCAGACCCAAGCGTAGTGTGCTCCAATAAGATGTAAACAGCATATTGTGGTCTCTTTTCTTATAACTATTTACTTTTTTAACATTTTAGCAGTCAATATTATTAATACAAGCACTAAGTACATTTCCTCCTTCAGTATTTTAATAAATTCCGCAATATGGATATGTGGAGAAGAGAGCCATTTAGAGCAGTTTTCCAGAGGATGTAATAATTATGTATATTTGCCTTTTTATGTTTGACCACTCTCTGCTCTCTGCACGACCCTGTTGCAGCCAGTCCCATATTCAAAACGAACAGACTTGCCTAAAGACACAACATTATGTATGCATTAAAACCCGCATTCCTCCATTTCTGCTATTCTAGCGCAATAACTGAGTGAATAAAGTATGGTTTTATAAGATTACTGAATAATAGCTTTTAGTGGAACAATGTCAAAATGAATAATGTTTAAACAACTCTATGATTAATGCAACTATTTTGATTTGAAACTTAGTATTGGGTCAAAATACCTTACATTTAAAGATCCTGGGTTCTACTCACAGGCGGCACAGGGCTTTTCTGAGAGAAATTTGCATGTTCTCCCTGTGTCTGTTCCAGTTTACCCTATCAGTGAGTGCGTTTACAAAGCAAAAGAATATGTAGTACGTTCAAAAACTAGACTAAATTGACATAAGATTATAAAAAATGTTGGTCCCGCCTCCATTACCCCCGCGTCCAGACCGTTTGGACGCTTTCAATGGCGTCTTGTAACTTTCCCTTAATAGTTTGTTGGTGTAGTTGTAATTAAAATTGCAATCATACAAATATTACAAGTAAACACTTGGCAAATGTAACTACATGACATTAGGTTTATGTTGGACATTGGATTTTCACACATGCTCAGATGAATACAAAGTCATTGAATCATAATTCCTGTTAAGTGTATTGATCCTGAACCAATGAGTAAGAATATCTGTCCAAATACATTTATTTTCACTCTGTGCTCAAATGCATCCCTGCCCAATGTCTGATTCAAATCTGACTGAAGTGTATACATGCAGCTCAACTGCATTAGAATCGTAACGGACTGGTTTTTCACACCTCGATTGGCACGCACACAAGTTTACATTTGTCTTCCTCAATCAGATTAAATTGGAGTGGAGGAGGAGAATTTGGTTTCATTTGTGCTTTGTAAACGCACTGACATGTACAGTAGGGACAGGGACTAGGGAGACTTGAGGTGGATTATGTGCTGTTTTTCCCATATCATTTTTGTTTATAATTCAGTTATTGAAAATAAAATGTCTCCACAAAAATGTCATCATTGGGTTTAGGAAGTTTTAGAAAAATACATGAAGAAAGGAATGCTGGAAATGGCTCAGGTGAGCTATTAAGTAGCAACACACATGCGTGGCCACAAATAAAATAAACATTTTAACATCGATGTTTAAGAGCATGACAAATTAAAAGGCAGCCAAGCAAGAAAGTGGAAGCTTAGAGGAAGTTACTAGAAAAGGACTCTAAGGGCTCATTTAGCAATTGCTCAGGTGCTAAAATGATCAGCACACATTAAAATTGGAGCAAACTGATTTATCATGCTCTGTAGAACTAAACCACTAAGATTGCACACATTATTTCACGTTGAGCCCCTGGATCGATAAATGTGGCCCTAAGTGCAATATGGCTTGCTCTCATAATCTACAAGACTGAGTCCAGTGAAGTGCAATGAGGACTCAGAAGTGTATCTCCCATGAGCAGCTTCTTTTGGGATGAGGAGAGCCATTTTAACAAGGTCACAGGGCAAGTTAAGTACCTCTTAAAGTCTCCCCCACGTGGAGCTGCCTCGACAGTCAAAACATGGCCTTGGCTTCACTAGGTAGCGAGTTTGTGAATAAGTCTGCTTGTGTGGTGATGGTCAAAGATATGAATAAAAGTAAAGAACAGTTCCCCAGTCGATAACATCACAATACTGATATATCCCTGAAGGGACAATAAAGTGAACTTATACCGAACCTAACCAATCTTGACATGAGAACATTTGAAATCTCCCCATTTTGAGATGAATAAGAAATATTGTGTTAATCTTATTATACATTTACGTGATGGCTGTAGATTGTATTTTTTAATATGCCCGCTCTTACCTTTTTCCAGGAATGGGTGCTTTCCGTTGGCAAACAACAGCAATGGTCCCATCCGGTCCCATGTCCAGAGTAATATCCCAGAGCACTGAGTTACTGGGAGTAGCAGTCCGGAAAGTCACACCTTTCTTCACTGTGGCTCTGTGAGAAGTCAAAAAACAAAAATTGTCAGAAATGTACTAATTTGTTTACTAAACACAAGTAAATACCAGATCTGTTGCCTACTCATTTATCTTAGTGCTGTTAAACGGTTCAAATATTGAATTGACATTTATCACATTAATGTCATTGTTAAAGGTAGAGGTTTCCCAAATATTAGGAAAGAACCGCCTCTCTTCTTCTTTGACAAGCATGTATCACCAGAATGATTGACAATTGGGAAGGCCAACAGTCTTGATGATCCACCGGGAGGTAGAAAATCCTCCTATATACCTTTAACTTGTGATTAATTGTAACTCATAGCTTTTTTATGTCAAAAAATGAAACATAAAAAGATTGCTTTTTACCGTGTACTGAACTCTTTAAGGTAGTAGAATTACTTGAATTGTCTAATAAAGGCTACTCATTTGTTTATGCTTTCACTCAAATCAGGCAGTCACTATGTATGTGACTATCATATATAGCATATATAGAAGGCGCCATGGCTGCATTTAGATAGGTGCCCGCTGTAGAAGCCTGGAGCACAATACAGACAAAGCCAGGGGCTGTTTAGCCCAAAATATGACCCACACGTCAGTGTGCATGCACGACCCAAGCCACATTTCAGAGGGCACATTTCCCCATGAAGACAATGAAGTTTAACTTAAGTCCATAGAAAGTTGCAGAGCACATCCTGGACCTGGACCCCTGCCTATGGTCATATTCTCTAATAGTATACTACGCATGTACATTCACTTGCAAGTGCTCATTAGTCGTTTGAATCTGCCTTTTGTAAACCAAAGTGTCATGCAAAGCAAAAAGAGCAGACCATTCCAAAGGGCTTCCTCAGCAGAAGCGGCTCACTGTAGATATATGTTAATGAAACAAGCTAGCAGAGTATTTAGGAAGTACAGGTCTAATCAGACCTGTGCTAAACCGGTAAATGTTCTAATAAGTCTCCCTGGGTGTTTTCAGTCAAGCAAATTACCTCCATCAGTTCAAAAGAACTTATAATAAATCTGGGGATCTCATTTGCATGCTGGGTCACTGAGTTTATCTGTGAAATCTTGCAGTCAAACAAAGCGTGGAAAACATTATGGGTCTCTAAGGACGAGTAATCAACAATTGGAGAGACAGGCAATCTGAAATACTGAAGGATGGGCCTTGAATTGAAAAACAAGAGTAATTCTCTATAGGGTAGGAGGAATGAGATGGGGTTTTCAGTGAATGTGCATCTTCATTTGGCATTCCTAAACCCATAATATTAAAAATTGGTCCTTTATGACCCCCACAGCTGGGCATGACCTGCAACCAAAGCCCCCCAAATGCATTTGTTTTGTCTGGTTTTCTGATGAGATGGATTGGTCTCATTTAAGAGAATTTGAAAAGCTCAACACAGTTCAAATACCACAAAGATTACAAGACTTAAACTATACAAAGGGAAAGTGTCTTTTTGATAGAGTCCTCAATCCATTGTGCCTCTAGGGATACTAAAACACAAATGTATTTTTACTGATGAGAAATATCAGAAGCAATGGGAGTCGAGCTAAAAGTGCAATCACGCTATAGCTCACCCTAAAAATAGGGAAGCAAACAACAATAAGCCAGAGGGCTTTTAGATGGAAATGGCAAAAGATCCCAATCAGGTCTATATGTGCGTTCATATTCAATACATATCAATATATACAGCGGCTTATTGTATCTTATGTTGGCAGCTGGGTTTTGGACTCATGGATTATATGGAGATCCTTGATGATGGCCTTTGTATTGGCTGCATCTCTTTAATAGAAGATAATCAAAAGAAGTTGTTTTAAATTCATGGTTGTTCCGAGGAACCCATCATTTTCTGAGTGAAAGGTTTTTAAAAAGCTGTTTTTATGGCAGATAGGTATTTTAACCAAATTCTACAAAGCATACAATATTGTATAATTATGAATATATTATTATTTCCCGAAAGATTTTTCTTAATGGCTTGTACCATGATAGGCCAATAAATTATTTTATCGAACTATTACTAAATGTGTTTTGGCTTTAATGTTTGAACTACATTTGTTTCTATGGTTGTTTTCTGAAGATTTGTTCATATATAAAATGATGTGGAACATACCATAGCCCATATAAACCTCTTTCCATTGATTCTTGCAAGTTAACCTTTCAGGCTCCAAAGTAGCAGAAATATGACCTGGCTCCTCACAAATGTTTCTCATACGCCTTTTCAAATAATATTATATATTATTTCTGTAATTGATTTTAGTTTTCTTCTATGTCATTTACAGCATCAGGGATCCACATTTGTCTGTTTCACATCACATTTCCTGAAGGGTATTCTTTATGTTTACACACAATTAAATGCAGTTCATGACAAGTATAAGCTGTGTGATTTTTGTTGTTGTTGTTGTTGCTATACCCCCTCCACCTACGAACATCATTGCAGGGCCAGTAATAATAGTTTTAGGGCCACCTGTCTGACACCCCAGTTGATCTTTGGTTTTTGGAAGTGACTTCAATTACCGCCTCAATTTAGAAAAGTTTGAAAAAAGTGATCTGTTTTGCTCATTAATGGTCCTTGTCTAAATTGGCAACATTTCTTTTTGCTCTTAAAATGGGGCAAAGGGAGACCATAAATCGAAGAATGAAATTTTGTGGACTAGCTTATAGTATTAACGGGAAAATGTTTGGCTCTATTGTGATAAACCACCTTTGTGTATTGAGCTGAATGGAGCCAGAGTTAACTAATAAAAAGTGACAGTAACAAGAAGACTTATCTAGAGGTGTTCTTTCCCTCTGCTCGCTTTGTTTGAAGAAAAAGGTCCCCTGTGACCAGAGGAAGAGGACGTGTTTTTTGGGGACCATCCGCAGCTCTGGGTTTGAGCAGCAGTGGGCAGGTGGGGGCAGGTACAAGGGCAAACAAGATTGATGTGTGTGGAGACTAAAGCCGACAGTGTGTGAGGCAGTCACTACGAGGTGATGTTCCCGCCATCCATCTCACTTCTGACCAGCTGGAAGGAACAGTTTTTCTGCCTTAAACAAACTCCAAGGCATAAGAAATACTTGAACACATTGCTTTGTACAGTTGTCATCCTTCCAATCAGATAGCAGCCGTCCACTTCCATGGGACATATCATTTTTTACCCTTATGCAATATTGCTTCCAACTGTATAGAATTCTGCAGCCTATACTTGAATTTCTTACCTTTTCATACCTTTCAATCAAACTACCAAAACATGGACACAGAATTTCTGCAGGAGTTAGGGTTAGGGTTGTGGTATAGCATATTATTTTGAACGTAATAATGAGATTATTTACTTTTGCATGTCATGTTTTAGAATTTGAAATAATATATTCAGTAGAAAATATATGGTGGAACAAGTATCAAAGCCCCGGTGATTTAAGATGGCGCCCTATTCAACTCAATGGCTTCTGCTCAGTAGCGCATGGGACCTACATGGGGATATTTGGGCATCGTCTGGTCCTCCCGCTTCTGCGCAGTGGACGAGCTTCCATGGCCAGCCCTATCTGGCTTTTTTTTCTATTTGCCGGCTGCAAACACACTCGTGTGAAAAAATGTGGCATAGTGGCACAATGACATCATAAAGGACCGAAACAGAAGCTTTTAGAGTTGTACGTGTGTGCCAAAAGTTCCTGATAGTAACGAGGATGGATCGAAACACAACTCCAGGTCTGATTTTGATGAGGGAACTATGTTAAAAGCTCAAAGTGGGAATGCTTGGCGTGTGTTTTTAGGCATGTGTTGATTGGTGGACTATTGAGGTATCTTTTAGTCGTAGTGCACCTCAGACCAGAAGAAACCTAAATAATGGACTATGGCAAGGTTTCCATCCATGTGGAGCCATTTTAAACACTTACAAATCAGTTTTTTGATTTGAGACAAGTTCTTTAAGGTTCATCAAGAACAGTGCATGCAACAACTTAAACTCTGATGGTGAGAGCGTCAGTTGTTACACGGTTTGTTATGCTGTCATCATGCAAAGTATCATGTGACTTGTACCTTCCTCACCTGATCTAATATGTAAATAATAGGCTATTTTTGCTCAGTGGGAATGACCCTATAGATTCTCAAAGACTCCAATCCTCTGTCTGCAATAAGAAGTTTAGCCCCTTCGCTACTCTTTCCCAAGGCACCCATTGAGATGCCACATACGGCAGCCTAATTGCTTTGCTGATATAATTTGTGTTTCGTTCACTGGCACTGCAAATGCATCACCTGAGGGGCGCGGTATCAGGGGTGAACTCCGGTGCAAACGCAAACAGATGCCGGTGTAATTACGCAGGCAAATGTCCACAGTTTAGCCAATGTGACGGGCGGGTGTATCAGAGACGTGCTCCTTGTACTTATGGAGCAGTTTGGGGAGCTGTGGACTGCTGTGCCAACACTGCTGCCAGATGGCCCGCACCACAACTCTAAAACAAGTGTAAAAGACCTATTTGTCACACAGATGAATGAATCGACTCACAAAACTAGTCAAGTGCACACTGACACTGCGCTATGCTTGCTAAAAAAGTAAGTAAGAGACTAAAGATGAAAGAAAACATACACTTCATTTAGCCTCCACTAATGCCTAATCTAATTGTCCTTCATGTGCCAGGAGGAGTAATGGCTTTACAATACTTTATATGTGACCTTTATCAGACTGAGTGGAGATGACAGCCTCATTTGGAGAGAACGGACAGGTGTGGTTTGTCTTTTTCTCTGCCGACCTCAAATCTGCGTGTCCCCAGACTGAGACTATAGTCATCAATAACAGCTTTATCACGGTGATGGGAGAGCATTACAACATAGACTAATGGGAGAAGTTGGCATTGATAGAACCGCCGAACTGGATGTATGGTTTCGTTAATGCGCCGATATGCCAACACATTAACGCACCTAGAGGAGTGAATCGCCTCCTGCTTGTAATGAGGGAAACAACAGAGAAGTTAAATGAAGTGAAGTATTAATAAGTGAGATGACATGATACAAGTAAAGAATGACAGGGTTGCGTCTGGAGGCTCACGGATCAGATAATTGGCATCAGGTGTCTCCTGTCTGTCGGCCCGGTGAACAGCTGTGAGGCTTCTGTCAAGGAAATCAGATTCACGCCGAGTTTGGAGATTAGTTCTGTGTCTGATGTTGCGCTTGGAGAACTGAGTGGAATAACAGCATGAATTCACAATGTGTATAATATTTATCAGAGGTGTGAGTGCTTCCATTATTGAAGTTTTTCTGATGCAGAGTAGAAATAGGAGTTCATATTAAACCTGCTCTAAGGGCTCTCCATTGGCTCCCAGTTCCCCTTTCAAATTCATATTCATAAAGTCCACAGTCTAGCGTCTTCATATATTTCTCATTCGTTTGTGCCTTATGAACCTGTGCAAAGTCTTAAGATTTGAGGATGAAGGGGGCAAAGCAGCTTTCCCCCATTATGCTCCTTGTAAATGGACCACTCTGAACCTGATCTCATTTAAGAGTAAATTAATAAGACACTTTAGACCTTCTTATCCATATCTTCCTTTGTCTTTTTGCAATTTGTTTTCTTCCACTGTCTTTTTAAAGTGCATTCCTATATGATATGCCCTATTTAGATAATGTTACTTCTGTTAAGAATATGTAATCATGTAATAATATAATCCAGATCACATAACTCAGATGTGATGCATCTGTTGTACCTTAAATAACACAACACACCATCTGCATCAGTCCCAAGAGTGTCCCGCAAAGTTCTCTCTCTTCCAATTATTATTATTATCATTCATATTTTTCATATCAGAAATGAAACACGCAAATTGTGTGAACTAGTCCCCTGCCGCAGTGATCTCCAGAAGCCTAATGTTGATGTTGCTGATGAAATGACGATTTTATGCTCATGTATAAAATGTGTTTATTATGGAGATTCGCTTTTAGCAGAATTGGGTGTTTGGGTTCATACTGAGCTCTTATAAAAGCTTCCCGCTTTTAACTGAGGCATTTACTATAAGAGAGTAGGACCCTAATGCAAACACAAATGTTCATATTACTATTTAATTGATAAATCGAAGCGCAAAAGTTCAATAAAACTTGCAATTAAATGTAGTGGGGCGACTGTTAAGTCTGACAGCATTTCTGACATCAGCACCAGAGGAACAGTACATCAATACTCAACTGTCTACTTGATCAATAATTGTCTATTCTTGCATTCAATATTGATCTTAGTGACTGTCCACAGGTTGGAATGAATATCTACAGCATTAACAAACCATGACACCTCACCTGCTCACATCCACTGAAGCGTGAGCGTCCAGGTGCAGGCCCCAGCACTACACAGGGTATTATTGATTATTTAGCCTTCACCACTGGGGTTAGTTAAGCTGCATGTTGTAAAGCTCATTTTACCATTTTATCTTCAGAGAATGGATTATTGACAGTACACAGCAGAGATTAATTTTCATGTCACGCTGCTTGTATAGTGTGTGTGTGTGTGTGTGTGTGTGTGTGTACAATACTTGAAAAACATCATAAACTATAACATGAAGGAAGTTTACAAAGTGCTGCACAAACACAAAAGAAAAAAAAACAAACAAAATACCACACAATATGTCTGCCAGCGTTAGAAAAATTAGAAGAAAGAAAATTATAACACTATGATCAAAATCATCAATTAATCATGTCAAAATTTGTTCAACATTTTTCCAATATTGTATCCATGTTACAATGGCGGAATGGATCTTCTGTATGAGAAACATATTACTGATAACTGTAATGAGCCCTCAGTAGCCTCGAGATCTTAAGTTCACTTCATTTATTTAAATATATTGACAGCTTGGAAATTTCCACATGAATTATTTCTCTTTCTTTATATAAATAATGGGCTGCTTCAGAGTTAGAAATTACTGACTTGAAAAATACAGCCTTTATCTAAGTTTTGGATCAAAGAATAGAGTTTTTCCCTTTGAAAACATATCCAAACATAGATTAAGATTGAGAGCTTCTTTATTCGACCCACAGCGGGGAAATTTCAGTGTTGCGTCACAAGTTATAGAAAGGAAAGAGGAGCACACAGCACAAGATAAGTGAAAAATAGCTACATTTACAAGCAATACATGAAGAACGTGATAATTTACCCCTCCCCTCATGTTTTCTGGTTTCTGGTGTCCAATATTGTTGTATAAATGAAATGAAAAGAGTGAGCGTTCCAACATTTAACCCTGCCTGCATGACTTCAAATGGAAGGCAAATTGCATGGCACTATTTATACCCCGTAATTTCGAAAATGTATTTTTTCATACAGCAACATGTCACGTCACGGAAGAGCGCTGAGATGAGGCTGAGTGGTGATTCAGAGCCCTCAAAATGAGCTTTATTATAGAGGGTGTCACGTATACCTCCACAGGGACAGACGCCCTCACCGCCTTCACGTTTCTAATCTCTGATCCAACCATAACATAATGCAGCCGGCGTGGGGCAGAAGCATAGCCTGAAATTAAATTGTGTTACACTGGTAATCCACATGATCTTCAATATCCACATTCGAAAATACTGTCAAATCCATACAGCCTTTAAGTGAGTGAGCCAAAAGCTTTAGTGACTTGCCCTGATCCAAGCCAACAATCTGAAAAGTGTGTCTCCAGAGTAATAACATCAGCCTATGCACACAGGAATAAACCACCACACTTCCATAAATCTCATCATCTATAGATCAAAAAATTGGGCCTTACCCTGGAACTTAATTATGCCTCACAATTTTCTCATATCATTAATCCACATTGCGATAAGAATAAACTGTGATTAAGTCCTGACCTAAAAGGACCTTGTTCTTCCCAAAATAGAGATGTTCACTAGTCTGTATGCTCCTCCGATTGACAAATAAATGATAAAATGTAATAAGAAAAATAAAAAATGCATTGACTTTATTGACTCAATTAAAGCAGTAACTAATGTTTTTTTAGCAGTTAATTAACAGAATATGTGTCCGCATAGATTATATTTCCAGACAAGGCTCGCTCTTGCATAGATTATGAAGACCTTTACACACATAGTTTGGTTTGTCTCCTTCTCTTTTCACCACACCGGAGACACACATTTCCACAGAGAACAGGACCGACCATTCTGACTCAGGAATAGGACTGGGCAATGAGTCAAGTTATTACAAATCAGCCTTTTTTGATGTGTTCACAATTTTGACGTTTTTGCGATTTTGATGTTTTGTGAGACGTTAAAAATGAGGTACGGATAATGTTAGAGTTTGTTGTGGGATTGGGCTCTGCTCTTCTGGGCTTCCATAGACAAGGCTAGTCGTTTAGACATGAGTGGAATCAACTGGGCCCTCAATGAAGAACAGTGTGTTTCCAGAAAAGTTACAACTTCTGTTAGAATTATAATTTTGTAATCCTATTTTTGGCAATGACAGTGTCTGCACAATTCTTTAACAAGGTTTAATTTTCAGATTCACAAAGTTTTGTTGTTGTTGTAATAAAAAGTCACACATCTTAGCACCACACACAGTATTTATTTATTTAATTTTTAGATAAATAGGTAGTTTGAGCTGGGCGATCTGGGCAGTCTTCGTCTCACATTGTAAGACGAAGACTCATAAGTGAGTGAGGTAAACGCTTGTGCTGTGTTTTTCGATGCTAATTCAGGTGTCAATAATGGCAATCTACAAAACTTGAGATTGCATGTTTTGCCAAAATATCCTGTAATGGTCGAGGAATAGTAGCAGGTGAAAAAGACATTTTTTCTGAGCACTAAATCCAATGCACGACAAAACAGGATTACTAAAACATCATTTAAATAAAAAGAGAATATTGTTATAGCAAAGATAAAAGCACATCAAAAAGAGTTGTAAATAAATAATATGTCCCTATTGTCCGCTATGTCCCACAATGTTTGCAATTGCACATCTACACACACTTTTGATAGGATCTTTCAAAGTGGCTTATACCATTTAATCAACATAAATCAAAGTACAAATCATATTATGTGCAGTATTAGACCAAGGGCTTACCTGAGAGTGAAGTTGGATAGTGCTGCAGAGCTTGCCATAAGGATGTAGAAGGTGGCTATGTCAGTTTTCTTCAGCGGTTTGGATGAGGTCCTGATAACGATGGCGTTCCCCAACTTGAGCCTTGATAATGTGGCCATTCCTTTGGGGACCTGCAGGAGGCGCACACTTCCAATCCTCTGCATTGGAGTCACTGGAGTGTACTCAGGCTGTATTGGAGGACCATCCCAACGACTTTCCGTAACCATGTTGCATTTTTCGTTGACTTTGGGTTGAGCCTGGTAGTATAGCTCCACAGGGTTGCCAGTAGTTGGGTCTTGTCTTTCTCTGCTAGTGCCCTCTACTCCTGGGGCAAACCAGCTGAAGGCAGGTGCCAGCTCAGCCATGCAAGTTCCCCTATCTCCCCCAAGTGCGCATGATCCTCTAACCTCCTGAGTTTGCCAGAAAGCATAAACCGTCACACATGGTAACTCGTCCCCACTATCTTCACCCCTGCCCCAGTCTCTACCAGCCACATAGAAGAGCACGCGGACTTTAGGCTTGGAGGAAAAAACTCTTGGTGTCAAAATGAATGCTTGTATTTTCCAGTTGAAGGTAAAGACATCGGGAGAGTCGAAAAGACGCACGTTTTGTAGCAGGTCCGGAGAGATTTGTTGTTCAGTGGAGATGGATCTGTAGCTGGCGTTGATGGCAGGTTGGCGGCTTGCCCTGAGGATCACAAATGGTTGGGTGTGGCTCTGTGTGCTGGAGTTTCTCATGAAGTCTTGGCCTGCCTCCTTCAGGAAAAGGAATTCTGCATCTCTGACCTCGTAGTTTAATGGGAGAGAGATGGGGAAAGGCACCGGGTTCTTTATGTCCATCAGCTCTTTACTGCTCGGGTCTGAGGAGAACAGAAAAGTAGGTCAGAAGTAAAATGGATTGATATATTAAATTGATATATTATTGCATTTCCTGTGTTCTAATTGTTTGATTGTCTAATATTTTAAAGATGAAATTGAAGCCACCTGTGTTGAGTGGGAACAAAAGTATTAGTTTGAAAAAAGTACCAGCAATTTAATACATTCATAATCAAAATAAAATTATATCACTTCCATTCTTGTAAATTGAAGCCCTTTCTATGTGTGGTTTACCATGATTTGTTACATAAACTAAACCTTTGTGGTTGTGCATTGCAGAGTGATCCGGGCAAAAAATAAAAAATACATAAAAAAGGATTTTGAAGGTTTTGCAGATGTACATTTCCATCTGTTGAATCACACAAGGTCAAAAACATGAAAACATTGTACATTACAGTACAGTGTCACTTTAGAACTGCAACAAGCTGATTTGTGTTTGCAGGGCCAAGTAGCAGCGTACACAGTGTGTGCGCTGATTGGTTTACTCATCCTCATCCAGATGAGTGGAAACAGCAGAAGCAGGGGGTCAGCTGCCAGTCAGCAGACGTCCTGATTAAAACTCTATTTCAATAGAATTACACAGCTTATATGCGCTGACCTGGTTCAGGTTTTATCTGCAGGCTAATTAGCCTATTTTCTGAATCATTATAAGAGACACCACATTATATTATTATATTATGTGAGTGATGGTACAATATTAAATAACATTCTAAATTAATGTGACAGAAACTATTAAAAACAAGAAATCTTTGCTCACAAAGCTGACAGCGATGTCATTTAGCCAGACAATATCAAACTTGTGCAAAGTTTCAATTGTGACAGGAGACGTCAGATCCTGTCAAAAGGTAATAAATTGTATTACTCATAAAATAAGAAATGCTTGAGAGAAAATATCCATTTGAGTGCTTGCCCTGTCCATCATGGTCATCTTAAACTCACAAAAAGCCTATCGAAGGCCGTGACAGCACAATGCACCAAATGGACACGCTATAATTATGTCCAGCCAAAAGGACCTGAATAGTAATGGAGTTTTTTGTTCATTATAAAAGTGGGAAATATCAGTTTTACAGAGGAAGGCCGCGCTGAGTGGCTTAGCACAATGACGACTGAGAGACAAACTGGAGCTGCTGGATATGGGAAAAGTAAGATGACTGTCTGTTTTTACCTAACAGCTGTGCTTTAAATGAAAAACAACAATGTATTTATTGTTTTAAAGGTAAGAAAAATATTACAAATGCTTTGGTGAAGAAAAAGCACTTTTCAAGAGAACAATTAAAATTAGAATCAAATTCAAATGACAGGCATGATTAACGTGAATAATTAAACTGGACCAAGTTCGGTCCAGATGAGCTTCACAGATCTGAGTGCAGTGACTATTGAACAGGATTGGTCCAGTTAAAGTGAAGCAGACCAACAGGTGTGAACACGCCCCTCCAAACATGTTCAGACTAAAAATTGAAGCTTATAAGGTTATGTTTGCTTATTTGTTTGTTTTTATTTAGATTCCCATTACCACAGTGGCTTCTATACACGGGGTGCATGTACTTGGTCACATGAAAACAGACAGTAAGCTACACGTATACATATATACAAATATAAGTTTATACTTTTACCCACTCCTTTTCAAATATGTACTTAGAATTCATATGAATTCACATTTTGTCTGTATAATTTAAATAAATACATCAACTATACACTGTCAACACACGGCACATTTACAATGCAACAACATCAACAACATTGTATATTCATACATTTGGAACATTTGTGTAGTTAGAGTTAGAGATTATAATTCCTAATATAAAGGATCACGAATATAAAAAAGATGCAGCTTGGCTGTGAATGTCGAAAAAAAGCACTAAAGAGCTCTTCTAGGAGAAAGCCATGGAACTTATGAAAAGCAGGTCAAACGAGCCCAACAAACCAAACCTGTGATTGGCCTGAAGATTCAAAGCACACTGGTGTTGAATGTATTATTTGGCAGGAAAGACTCTATAAGTGCTTTCACGTGGACGTGTCTGGTGTTGTGGTTCTGATGAAGCTCCTCTGTTTGAGATGCAGAAGCAGTGAGAAGCTGCCTCACAGAGCAGCAGTGTTTCATAGAGATGTTATCAGGGTCTTTAACAGCCCCTCTGCAGGAGCCCACTACTGCACGCTCTCTTTTCCTTTTAGATTTCTCTACCTCTGTGATTCTGCCAGACTTTAAATCATTTGTGATGTTTATCTACCCCAATATATCAGTGTATATTATTTTCTGTTTTGAACTTCTTTAAAAATTACTTTTTTTTTTTCCTTAGATCTGATACTGGTGGGTTTAGTGGGTTTTAATAATTTTTTTTTTTTAAACTTGCGGGTAATAACCCAGACTTCCCTTTTCACACACACTTTCTCCAGCTCATCCGGAGCCCAGCAAAGAGACATGTCCCTCCAGGGTGTCCTGGGTCTTCCCAGTGGGACATGCCTGGAACACCTCCCCAGGGAGGCGTCCAGGAGGCATCTGGAACCGATGCCTGAGCCACCTCAACTGATTCCTCTCAACGTCTCGAAGCGGCGGCTCTGAGTTCCTCAACCTATTTCTTTCTTTCTTTCTTTCAATTTATTAACAGTTTTAAAGAGATTTACAGTTCATGTGCATCACATTAAAACTGTACAAATATATCAATCTTAAGTTATAACAAACAGTAATACAATGCAAAACGAAACAATATTTAACATCCCCCCTTACCACCACCACCACCCCCCACATTCACTCTCAACATACAGCCACTCACACACACGAGCACACAGGTCACTAGCCACTTCAGTACATCAAGTTATATGACAGAGATGGCTTTCTTTAATATTCTTGCTGCATCTTCTCCAATGTGATTCAGTACAGGATTCCAGATTTCGAAGAAGGTGTCGGTATTTCCTTTTAGAAGGTAAGTTAGTCTTTCCAATGGGAAAAGGTTTAAGATATTCTTAAACCAATCAGAGATTCGTGGTCCAGCATCCTCTAACCAGTGCTGCATAATTGTTAATCTTGCACTGTGCAAAAGCAATGATATTAATTTTGTATGTTGCCTCAGTTTTGGGTCAGAGTAACCTATTTCTAAGAGAGCCACTCTGCAGATGAATTATTTTTGATCATTGGGTCATAACTCAAAGCTCATGACCATAGGTGAGGGTGGAAACATGACCAGTAAATTGAAACTGTGGGCCACTGTTGAATCACTTGCTCCCAAGTGGGTGCACATAGGGAAATCTAATTCTAAAATCCGCCCAGAATGTCTGCTGTAACTATAATGAGGGGTAAATCTGGCAGGGTAAAAAACCAACTGTTGGATTTTGATAATACCTTTTCAAATCCTTCATCCGATTGACATTAAGAGACTTGAATTAATTGAAATGATACAGTTTAGTTCTTCATTGTATCTTCAATATAATGACAAATATTACATTCATCAAATATATTGCAATCAAAACAAGATTGAGCTGAAGAAACTTGCTCATGTAAGCCTATAGCGGAAAATATATTTATATATTTTATTACAATTTTGTTTGAAAAACAAAAAGATAAAAACTTTTGGTGGAATACATGTAAAATCCCTAATGTCCTACTTAATAATTATTCAAACACAGGGAAGTGATTTAAAAGTTAAACCACTTTAACATAATAATGACCCAAAAAATATAAAACAATACAAATGATCTGAATTTAGTATCACATTGTATTTGTATAATAAGAATGTTGATAAGAACATGGAACACAGTAAATGATGTATGCACTAAGACCATTAAAGACATGACACTGTTTGCTATGATTAGTAAGACAAATCACCAAATGGATCTATTAAAAGCCCAAACATCCTTTGTGAATCTTAATGGACTTTTCCCATATGTTCAAACAGATGGGAAAAGTCAGCTGCCTGCAGAAGCATCACATGAGTGACTAATCACCAACCCCTTAATGTTTCCGTTGTAAATATAATGATGTGTTCAGTGTGACAACTGTGGATATGTTCAAAGTAAAGTTATCATGATGAGTTAGCAGTCATGTAAGACACTTAACCACACAAATAAATACGCATCAATAGGGACAGACTCTCAAATTCTGGTATGGAAAACCACAATTATGTTGTTGTATATTTGTACATTATATAATAATTTAGAAATACATCCTGGGCTGTAATAGATCATATATATATGCAAACTTCTTCCCATCCTTGTTTCCATGGAGATGACATTCAGTCTCTGAATGTTCCACTGAATGGCATTTAAACTGAAGTTAAGTTTAGTAAATTCAAGTGATATTTTCATAAATATTCAAAAAGGTGACCCTCAAAGCATAACCATCAGAAGTAGAATAAAGATTCCTGATAGGAGCATCATTAGAAAAAGGAGCTGCCAAGTTATTATGTAGTGCTCCATAAAAGGATGTATATCTGCCGAGATAGCCTCTAATTCAAGCAACATTGTTGTGTTCACATTTGACTCTCACAATAATCCTGATGTTAAAATGTTGTGATGATGAGAATGAGTTTTGGACAGGTAAACATATAAAGATGACATAGTGATCATCTGGGAGCTCAGAAGGGGCAGCCTGAGACTGAGGCTGATAAGGAGAGAGGAATAGAGGACAGGGGAGATTGAGAGAGGCTTAAGCCTGTGCAGTGATTGGTAGGGATTTCTGAGGCCAATGCAACTCTTAAAGCTGATTTAAAAAATCTGTTTTATCACATTTTTTCATTTGTTATTATCTCAGTATCTATAAATCAGCAAAGCTGACATAGCACATTCTCGGAAAGTGGTTACCTTAAATGAAATGATTGGCTTTAGATTTAGTACTTTTGTTTGGAGCACAGTGGGAATGAAATGAAGAGTTTTGTTATTGGTTATTCCACATTGGCAGTGCCCCATTTCCTGTCAAGGGTTTTTAAAGAAAGGCATTTCTCCCCGACAGAGTGAAGGCAAGGCACAAAGCA